TGCCTATTAAAATCTATTTTAAACGCGTCAATTATTTAGTAGGTAAACAAAATGTCAGCTGTTTATAACACATTAACCCAAATCATTATTAATTTGGTTAATTAAGTTAAGGTGTTACTACCGGTTAAATAAATAAATCATTCAACCACCCGGTCCAAATATTATTTCAAGTATTTTATTAAACGACACAGTTGACACGAAGAAAATACGATATCACTCCACTTTTCTGAGTTAACGCACACAAACAAACAGTAGGTACCCACCCCAACGTCCCTTTCTGATTGTAGCGGGCTGCTGCGCACTAATTTATATTATGTAACCAAATATTTCTCCATATTTTTTTCTAGCATGATATTAATTTATTTTCGTCTAATCTTTAATTGAAATAAAATTGTAACTCAATTGTCACTTAAAATAAAAACAAATAACAAATAAATACAATAACTGTATGTAAAAACAAAGTAAGCAATAAAACACACGCAAGAAGCGTGTACAATTTTAAAGATGCATTAGCTTTGCACTTCTGAATTATTTTTTTAACTTGCACAAAGAAATATCCGATTAAGGAAAACATTTTTCTACTTTCGCCAAATAAGAAATGAAAGAAAATTATTAATTTGGATAAAAAATATGCGCGTAGAGGCACACAGCCAAGTAAAATAGATTGAATAAAAGTTTTCCTGATTTTAGTTGGTGGTGTAAAGTTAGAGTTCGAGCTTACCTTCATGACTTGGTTTCGCGAGTGTCGGAGCGCGGAGTTCGGATCGCGAGCGTGCGTCTGGAGCGACGAGCGGGCAGCGAGTGGCGCGGAGCGGCGTCGTGGCGCGGTTGGCGCGGCGATGCCGGGCGGGACCGGGGACACGCAGGACGCCTGCCTATTGATCTGCCTCTTGGGCTCTTGCACCCGGGAGCACCTATACACTCGGCACTCAGTCCTGTACGCATATTCACACCCCCTCCCCTCAAGTCCGCCCGATCTCTCTATCTGCGGCTAGGCAAGATTTATTATTTTTTCCGGGAATAGCCGGATTTCCTTGTATATGATACGGCGTCAGAGTTTTTGCGGATAGATGCAGATTACCTTTGAATAGAATAGACAGATATCCGAGGCTTCAATAGATATCGAAGTCGCTAAAAGGCGTAAAAAAATAAATAAGTACATAACATTTCAAAAAAATATTCAGTATTCAATTCAATTTAGAAAAAAACATCTTTACTTACTTCTTGTAGTATTTTTCCGTTTGTATTACACATACAAATACTTATTATTCTTATTCTTAAACCCGATACCTTTGTTGTGCGTAAGTAAGAAGTTAGATATCAGAAAGACTCCTAGATGCTGCTGCTGTATAGTATCAGGTCAAGGTTACCGTGTCTAGGCAACATTATGAAAGTGACAGGACACAGGATATTGAATTGAAACGCTCGTAAAAGTTAATTAAATAAACTCTTTCATCAACTAAACGAGATATGACGACTTATCAAAGGGTTGAATAAGTGAAAGGTATATGTTTCATTGGAATTATAGTTCTATCAAATTAGATAATACTTTTTAACCAAAACTAAATAGGTAGTAGACCGATAAATAAACTACACATAGACTGTTTAATAATTGAATTTGTTTTTTGGAAACTTTGCAACACGACTCGTGAAAATGGTGAAGCACCACAACATTCATGTAGGGAGCGCTCTATAACAGTAAATAAAAAAAAATACATGTTTTTTAAACCGTATCAAAGCTTATTGTGGTCCTACTACCATCAGATAGGTTGAAACTTGACGTTGGTTGTTAGTTATACATGTTTATACTACTTGTATACAATTTTACATACCTTCTGAAACAATAGCTATTTCATAATATAGAACTACGGATAATTTGAATTGAATATTCTCGAAGATCTTTATCACGTCTGGAATATTTGTAGGCCTTGAACCAAAATTCTACGTTTTCGTAATTTTATGCAACATACCAGACATCGGTATCACTACATATTATAAAACAAAGTCGATATCCGCCGTCTGTCTATCCCTATGTATGCTTTCATCTTTAAAATTACGCAACGAACTTTGATGCGGTTTTCTTTAATAGATAAAGTGATTTTTAAGGAAGGTTTATATGTATAATACATGCATATTGCATCCGTGCGAAGCCAGGGCGGGTGGCTAATAGATATTAAAATTCGTTTTAATATAACAGCACATCTTGCGTACCTTTATGCAAATATTATCGAAATAATTATACGGTAATTATAAACTACGTTTAAAAAGCCTACTTCAATAAATTCTTTTTGAAGTCAGTTAATACATATACTATAACCATCTACGAAGTTTGTAACACTTCGTAGAAGATTTTGGTATATGTAATACTTTTCTGAAAACCAATGGTTCAGCCAATTAGTAGATAATCGCGGACAAGCATACAAACATACAAACGTACATACAGAGGAAACTGAGCAGTAAGCACCACCATTTTTTTTGTATTGTAACTTTCGTAAGACATACTAAATAAATTATTATGTTTTCGGCTTACTCACGTAATAATTTGACGAGGAACTCGACTAGTTTCAAGCCATGCTAGAGGCTCATATTCATGAGCACTAATGAGCAGCATTTCGCGCCCCGCGACGCGGCGACTGTCGCGCTGCTTCAGTAGCACATAACCATTTGTTGTTTTCGAAATCGATTAAAAATGTGACTGCTACGATAAAACTTTATGCAAAAAGTAAAAGCTATTTAACTCGTCGAGTACCGTATTTATAGACACAATTAAAGAACAATAGGTTGCGGTCACCCGTGACCGCTTGGTGTTTGACAGTTTAACTTAAAACATGATACAAACAAAGTAATTTTGATTACTAAAATAAACCTATAACAGTGGTGTGCTAGTAATATTTAGTATATCTAGACTTTAAGCTTATAACCTAATCAATGCTACTCAATACTCTATATAGTACTACAAATACATTTACGTAAATCTAATCAGTGCCCAATGTGTATAAACTCCATTTAAATAAAGCAAGAGCAGCCAAATACTACTCAAAACCATATTTTTGATGTTAATATTAATACTATCACGAGAGCATACACAAAGAAAATACAATACGTATTTTAATTTTACAAAATACAATTCGTCGAAACAATATTAAAAGCTAAGCCTTGTTGCAATATCGGATGAAAAATTCTCATTATCCTTTACCTTTGACGGTATTATTGAGGCTTAAAACATACTATCGCTTGTTTCCATGAATTGCTTCTGTTGCATTAATATATTTTCTCGTGTGAAAATACTAACATTATAAGTACGTAATTGTAAAAGCTTCGGTTTTAAATGTTATTTTTTTCCATGACCTTTCAAAATAGGTTTTAATGATCACATAATTCTAACACTATGTAATTGAAAACAGCATAATTCTAGCGACATAGTAATTTTAGAGAAGAAGTGTAAAAAAGCATACCGAATTCTTTAATTAGATATTCTATTCTTCACCAGGTGATACGTCAGCTTGTATGCCGTTTTATCCCTTAAAATAATCGAAAACGAAGAGCTATTTTGCTATCGATTTTGGTGATGAATGAGGTGGCATGGCGGGGCGGTCTAACTCACAAACCTTATACCTAAAATACATATTTCATTTTCTAAGTCGAGGATATGGGTCATCGACTTCCCGAACTCTGACTGAATGCCTAACTGCAGTCCCTATCACCAAATCGAGACATTAATCGGAACAGATTCTATAGCTTTCCTCGTAAATGTAGTTCATATTATTAATCGTTATTGGTCGCTTGAGTAAAGCAATTTGAAGTTTCCGAACAGAAACTTAGTTTCCATCGTCATGTCACCGTGTTTGTAAAGATTAACGTAGATATTCTGTTATCTAAACCTTTAGTTGTACTTATATATATATACGGTAGAAGAAACTAGTCCAAGGCCTCGAAACGTCCGCTAGTATATTCCTCATAATCTTAATACATTGCGATGTATTAAGAGTTAATACGCATGTTATAATGGGGAGGTATTGTTAAGAAGCGTTATAAAAAGAACTAACTGTGGCCGTTTTGCATCCATTCATAAATACACTGCATGCTTTATTCCCGTCTATATCACTAAACACATGTAAAGGCCGGCGCAGACTGACGTCGATTGTACATATAACTTGAGGTTCAAAAAAGGAATAAGAATAAAATACTTTATGCACAAACCTAGTCAGCGTTGGCTTAAGGCCTAAACTATACTTTATTTTAAGATCAATATGATATCACTCAAAGAGTTTACATATCACTTCATAATAGCTAAATTCGCCAAATACTATCTACCACGTTAAAAAGAAAAAACTGACACAACAACAATATTTTTTAGTATGCATCTGCACGGCAGTAAAAGTTATGTTTCAGTTGGTTTCAGATTAACCGGCCCCGAGCGATGCTCATATTAAAATGAGTTTTTAATCCTTTGCCAGACACAAAATGCTTGTTTTATTTTCAAAACTGGAAAGAGACTTACTAATATTTTATTTTGTATGACGATATTGATTTATATGTTTGTAAATTTTACTTATAAACACACATTATACCGAAAATGTCAAATGAATGCTAGGGCAAATGAAACTATGTATTCCTCACACTTTTATTACTTGCTATAATCATTATATTATTTTCTCTTAGCGAACGAAACCCTAATAAAAGATGTTAAAATTAAAATACAGGTAGGATTAACAAATCTTAGTCATTCAACTAATCAATAAAAATAACTATTACTTTTGTATTTACATAACAAATAGTAAATCCTCCTCATGGACACGATGAGTCATAATCCCTTAGATTTAAAGACTCTTTTTGTATTTAAATAAAGAGAGAAAAAAATTGTACATGGTTGAGCAAATACAACATAGGTAAATATGATACTTTTTTCGCTCTCACTGGACACTTTCGAAGTAATAAAAAATTATTTTTAACCAACGCCACATTATTATGTTTCGTATTAAATTCAGAGCAGGTTTGTGATGAATTCGTCGCACACCATTATCTTTTATTTTGATGGCAAATTTAACGACCGTTGCACCATTTTAATTAAGCCTAGCCAATTTTTATTTCACTTTAATTTTAATTTTCACATCCTCTGTAACATGAATAGATTAAAAATATTGTTTTTGATAGGTAGTTATGAAAGAATTTATTGTATTAAAATAATTTATTGTTAGTTTCATAGTTTAATTGTGTTGTTGTTTTAGGTGCTTGCTTTCTACAATGTAAAGGGAGAGAACCATTCAAGCCTGCCCACGGATCTCTTCCCTTTTTAGTAAGTTTATCTCGTCTGGCTAGATGTAATAAGTAAATCTAGTAATTGAAAGAAATTATAATAATGTGCGCGTTCCCCAACAGGAAAAAACAACTCAACAAAAACATTAATACATCTATTATTAAAAGGAATATATGATAAAGAAATAATTAAAGAACCAAGAAATAACTAACTCATAACTAGATATTGCTGTCATGGATATTCACAATTAATTGGTACCTACGTGTCGACATACAGGGCATGCTAATAAATTAGAAATGTAATAATATATCAATATGCATAATTATACTTCATTTATATATTAAACCACAACTCATAATGTTCTTTTGAATAGGAAACATGAAGAAATACCAGGCGTGTTTACACATTTCTGCATTGTCAATAGAATTACTTATCGGAGCGTTTGCAATCCATTCTATTGTTGTATTTACATTCTTAGAGTAGATTAGTAGAGACCTTAGCGTAATCAACCACATTCAGTGAGGCTCCTCCTCTGTAAATCAGTAATTCAAACATAGCTGCGATAATTCACCAAGATAATGAAATTTTTCATAGAAATCAGATCTCAGATGCCGTACGTAACTTCGTTCACGTGTTTAACGAGTCGCGGGTATTATATATTTATAACAATATGTTTTAAGTTTTCACAGAATTAAAATGTTTGTTTATAGAAATTTTAAGAAATAGCGTGTTGTAAAAATTGTTTTAGAATAGACACGAAATAAAATAACCGTAAAATTACGAGAAATACTAAGTATGGGTTAACCAGAAAGGATGGTATGATGCAGTCATGCACACTATGCATTAAAATCTACTTCTATGCACAGGTTTATTTTCCATCACGCTACCGAGGCCTGTGTGTTGGCACCCTGGTGTCCAGAGTGACTGTGTTAACAGCCGCTGTATGTGTGACCAGCCCGGTCGCTGATGTCAAGGATACCAGGCCCATCAATGTCGTCACCGGAGCTACGTACAGGCATCCACGCCGTGGCATTCGAGTTCAGGTCACTAAGATACTCATACCAAACCGTAAGTTCCAACTTTACCAAATAACATGCTTTAAGCCCCGGCCACAGTATAGCGGTGGTTTTTAACCGCGTAAGGCGTAAGTTCAATACAACTGTTGGGCCCCAGCCGCGCTAGACGTGTCACGACGGCGGTTTTCAACCGGGTAATTTTGTGAGACAAAAACTGAATACAACCGGCCGCACTTAGGTTTTATTCCATCCCTGATCTTTAGAAAACAAAATGTAAGGCCTCGGCCACTCTAGAGCAGAACCCTGGCATTTGTTAGTAACTCCAATCAATCATATTTTTTCCACTTTCAATAGGTCAGATGATTTTCATAAATATGTCGGCACCGCATGTGTCGCCAGTTATTGGAAATGATTCTACTGTATTAAATATATAAAACATTAACGTTTATTTGGTATAAAATTCCAGTTAAATAATTACAAACCTATTTGAATGAAAACAGCAAACAATAATACAAGTACCTACTTGAATGAAACCAGCAAATATCCTAGAATTGAGCTTTTAAATTTAAATTATTGAACAAACATGAATTAATGAAATAATCAAATTATGTTGTAATTACATTAGTAATCGTCCTCCATTTGCCTGAAGCACGCATCAATTTAAAACAGATAATATTTTCACAAATGTAATGGCACTCGAGCATTTCGTTCCATCCATTGTAATGAAAAGCTTTGAACGAAGCACGCTTAATTAATTAAATAGCAGCGGTGCCGCAGTACAAACTGACCATTCGCTTCTCTATATTGCAATTGCTAACAAAACATTTTAGGTATTCTGTTCATTGAACGTCATAAATATTTGTTAGAAAATTTAATTTACGGAGTTGTTTCAAACTATAGCTTGTAAAGAATGTCTTGCCTTCAACGTCGACGAAGATAAGCCCGTGAACGCAGATATTTGTTTTTAATAAAAATGTTACTTAACTAAAGACGCCATGGCACCTAGGTAAACATGCCTGGAATTTTAAAAGCAAAAGTCTTTTATTTTTCTTTTGTGAGCTTTACGCTTCTTGTTAACTAACAAATAAAAGCAAAATATAATCTTATTACTTTACTAGTGATAGGCTAAGTTAAAAATTCACGAAAAAGAAGTGTCAAAATCTTTAATAGGTACACTATTATCAACTTTAAAATGCAATAAGCAAGTGTTACTTTGCAAATTCTTAAACCGGTGACTAGCACAGTACTATATATACCTTTTACATTCGTGGAAGAGTCTGCTTAGACAGTCGACTAATGCAAAAATCAATGCGACTCCATTAAAACGAATATATTTACCTGCCTCTAAAGTTTATCTACGACATAACAGATTCACCGACGTTGTTTAGAGTAAGAGAGCGGATATATCTGGAAAGCGGTTCCATTATAAATGCAAAACTTTGTTCCGTGGCCTTTTCACCATAAAGCGTTGGATCAATGTTTTGCCTTGAAACAGATTATAGTCTGTGGAATCTTTAAAGCGAGACGTGCTTTCTCACTGATAGACAAGGTCTGCGAGTAAGCCGAAGTCGACCAAACATATAGCAATTTCGTTCTGTCTACCTATTATTTTTTTTAAGGCGGGAAAATCATCGAATGACTGCTCCCGCCTGGGTGAGGCGGAAGGGAGTGTCAGACTCTTACTGACTAAAAACCACCCCGTTCCTTCTCCTGCAGGTCGAGCCGGAGCCCCGGTTCTCTCTCTGTCTACCTATAGTCCGTACCTATCTAGGACTAAATAGAACCGTAATTAGTGGTTCGTGGTTAGAGACCAAGCGATGTTCTGTTGACCGCTCATTACCTATGTAGTGTGTAGACCGAACCGCCCTAATTGAGACCTCGCTTCATTTGCTACTTTTATCTTAGTACTCGGCCGGTTGAAATACCTGGGAGTTAATTTGATAGCTTAACAGTTGAAATAATGCGGAATTGCAGTCGTGAACAGTTACAATTAGTTACAGGCGCGACATAATATTAGTTATCAACTACTACCACTACATATTGTAATAGGGTAGTTGCCAGAGTATTAAAATTAAACAATCTACTTAATTAGTCCGTCAGTTAGATAATGCATAACATAACATCACGCCTACTATTCCCGAAGGGGTAGGCAGAGGTGCACATAACGGCACTTCCTGCCACTGTACAATGTAACACCTACTTCTCACTATTTATGTTATTAGTCCCATGTAATAGAGGGTTAACCTATTACCATATATCGGGCACAATTCCAAACTCCGTGCTACTACTGAGAATTTATGAAAAACCCAGTAATACTTTGCCCGGCAGTCGCACGACCATTCCATTCCAACAACGAGGCAGGCCGTTAGATAATCATAAAATATTAAACACGTATTATTATTTTTCTTTTAAATACGATATACATAATACAACAAAGCTCCAAAAAGATATCATTCATTCCACTTTATGTACTTATTTATTTATAATACCAATACTTTTCACGATGTTAAACTTGTTCACAGTTTCAAAACTCGCTTCAAATAACAGGGGTTATTTGATGTCAAAATCGGTAGCATTGCTGCTTCTTAAGCGAAAAGTTCCTGACGTGCTAACGGAAATACCATTGAGACCCCTTGACATAGATTATAAGGGCGAAGAGGTGTTGAGTCTGCAGGAAGAATGTCTCATGCCCGGTTGGCATTTCTTCTATAAGGGGGTATTGTATGATATCTATTTTCGTATACACTATGAAAGTAACGTCTCGTAGGTTTATCATTGGACGCTTGCGAATGAAGAATATTTTTTCAATGAAGTATTCGTGTAATCTCTTTAATAAAATGTTTACTCATGAGAGAATTAGTGGATAAAAATAATTCAATATGATGCACCAGTACCGTCCACAAAGGAAAAACTTTAGCGAAGCATATATCAAACATTTTAACAAACAACTTCCCTATACCAACTGGATGCACATGTTTTTATTTAACATTTGCTGCGCACATGTGTCGTTTCTTTTTATTTTCTCAGCAAAGAGGAGGACAAAGCATGTTCTCAGCCCTCATTATTTGGGAGATCCTGTGTCACTGCTAACGGTTTAAAATGTGTTTAAAGCTTTTAACTAAAGTTACGAATGTGTGGAGTCGGGAGTTCGAATCATGTCAAGTTGCGCCTTTGTGCCCACCACGTCGAGCCGCGCTCCGTGCACAATACAAAAGCAGCTTAAACTTTTTGCTGCAAACGTCCTAACTTCCTACGTTATAACTTTATGCATTCTGAATGAAAATAAAGTCAAGTTAAAATGTCACAGTGATATAACATGTACCTACATTCTCAGCTACTAGGTGCTAGCTAGGTGCTTTCAGTTTTATTTTATGTATCTCGAATGGGATAAAGTAATTTAAACCCGACTAAAACTATAATACGTGTCATTTTAATAAGAATACTATGATTAATAAAATATAATAACTAACATAGACTACCAATTTTTCAGAGAACTTAACATATTTTCCATTTTAGGATAAAATCTACCCTGTCCACAAATTTCTTCTGCAAAGAAACGTGCGGGTTCAATTCCTGAACATAGTGAAGAAGACCTTATGGTGTGAAGCATTGACCATAAAATTCCAGAAAGCTCTGAGTAACTTGGGATTCCTGGGTATGTTCGACAAAGGCGCCTGTATCTGCGTAAGAGATGTAAGATAGTATTTTCATTTTTACTATATATACCTACGACAGAATTTCTGTTTGATATCCACATTTTGCAATTTGCGAATTATTTCCAAGTTAAAAAATCATATAGAATTAATATACATACTAAATTAAAAAAATAATGGCTATATTAAATCCTAATAAAAGTTTATACATACATAATAGCATATAATAGCATTTTATACATAGTAGCATAGCAGAGAAGCACATTACGGCACTTAATACCATTGTAGGTACAATGTAACACTCACTTTTCACTATTTATGTTATGAGTCCCATGTAATAGGGGGTGAGCCTATAGCCATATACCGAGCACAATTCCAGACTCCGTGCTACTACTAATTTTTTGTTAAAAAAAACCAGTAATACTTGCCCAGCAACGGCACTTGTGGTCCCACAGAGGCACCACTCGGCCAACGAGGCAACAGACAGTTTATACGTTCCAATTTTCTCGATTGTATAAAAAATAATTGCTTCCGTGAAACGTTTCGTAGGCTTTGCGATTAGCGCGCGCCTCAAGGAGCCATCAGACCACCACAGATGGGGCCTAACAGAGCTGATGCCGATACGGAGCCGCGGAAGACTTAACGGGTTGCCGGGGCTCCGGCTCCAAGTGCAGGAGTAGGAACGGGGTGGTTTTTAGTCAGTAAGAGTCTGACACTCCCTCCCGCCTCACCCGGGCGGGAGAAGTCATTGGATGATTATCCCCCCTCAAAAAAAAGGCTTTGCGATTAAACACAAACTGTGATAGGAAACAGGCGTGACGTCATGTAAATATGTAAGTTCACCGTAATTAGGTAAAAGCTATTTATAAAATGAACTTGCTGTCATTCGCAAGTTGTCGTAAACACGATAAGTAATACATATATAAATAAATATATATGTAGCAATGGTAGGCATTCACTTATAATAACTAGATAACCCGGCAAACTTCGGACCTACTAAGAACTTTTTTCTCACTCTTTAAATCTTCCCTGGACTTCCACGAACATTTCGAGACAAAAATTATCCAGATCGGTACAGCCGTTCTCGAGTTTTGGCGAGACTAACGAACGGAAATTAATTTTTTACTTTTAGACTAATCTAAACAATGTTTGTTGATGGAAGAGGTACGTATCTATGAACATAGTTACTTTACTAAAGTTATTTTGTTTCGTAGACTGGATCAAGAAACTTGAACTAGATAATTAATACCGTCTACTGTAGGTACCTAAATAGAATCCGAATAATGATAAAACGTATCCCAAAGCGTGAGAAATGGGTGATTATGTATAATTGAAATAAATACATAACATCACACCTTTTATCCCGAAGAGGTAGGCAGAGGTGCACATTACGGCAACTAAATACCACTGTACAATGTAACATCCACTTCTCACTGTTAATGTTATGAATCCCATGTAATAGGGGAGCCTATTGCCATACCGGGCACACTTCCAGACTCCGTGCCACCACTAAGATTGTTTTTTAAAACCCAGTAATACTTTGCCCAACATGGAAATCGAACCCTTATCCAGCAGTCGCACTTGCGACCACTCGGCCAACGAAGCAGTTTAACACTTTAACTGCCAAGTTTAAAATGGTGAAAGTTGTACCTCCACTAGCGTCAGGCACCGGTGACTGCCATGACGCTCTAAGGGTTAAATAAATATACCTATTACATTCTCGAGTGAATGTACTCGAGAATCTATTTTAAAAACGTACTCATATATTATCTTTCAGCCTGACCGATTAGCGCAGCCGTGTCATGTGAGTGACTTTTGTTTATAAATACTGTATAGTATAATTATAGTTATATAGATATAACTATGTCGGTTAGTGTTCTAGGGACGGCAAAGTAAATACAATTTTTTAATGATGCCCCACATTAGATTTTTCTCCTGTGTCGTGGGTGCGTTTACAAACAAACAGTTCACATACACATGACACCCAGACCCGGAACAATAATTTGTAGATCACACTAAGAGTTATTCCGTGCGGGAATCGATCCTGCGACACGTTGCGCGGCAGTCGGTTGTCCAGCCACCGCACCAACCGTGCATTTACCACCCCTTATTTAATAGACCGGGCATCTAACCTTTTAAACTGTGATTTTTTTTTGTAGACCGATCACCTGATGGTAAGCAATCGGTGTCACCCATGGACACCTGAAACACCAAAGGCGTTACAACGTGCGTGCGTTACTAGCCTTTTGGGGATTAGGAATTTAAGGATTGTTGGGTAGATTGGGAAAAGACGGGGGGATAATTGGGCTTCAGGTAATCGGAATGAGTGACAAGACAAAATACAATGCAAGCGTTGTTTCACGTCCGCTTTCTGTGAGGCTGTAGTATTACTCCGGTCGAGCTGGCCCATTCGTCGGGCCGAAGCATGGCTCTCCCACGCTTTAGTGATCTGCAATTTGCTTGGGAAACGTTGGGATTAGACAAACCTCTCTTTTCTAGAAGAGACCCATTCAAAAATGAACTCTCACTGAAATGGAATGGATGAATGGTGATTGACATAGACGTCTACCATTTAGTAGTTATTTTCTTAAATAACTGAGTCGATAGTTGTAAGTACGTCGAATAAATCGAATTGAAAGAGTATTACTTAAAAATGGAAATTTTAATTGAACCTTTTGAGATGAATTTTGATATGGGAAGTACAAGCATCCCTGTAGAGTGTAGATTAGCTACTTAATCTACATCACACCAGACGAAACCGCGAGCGAAAGTTGTAGATTAATAATAATAAAGTTTTGTTATCAATAGCATAATAACATAAACTTATTAAGTAAACTGGTTCTCTGATCCTACAAATAGCAACCAATATCAGAAATAGATAACGGAACGACCTAATTGTAATTTTGCAAGATATAATGAGGTTTTGTTGTGTTCAGGGAATGTACGGCGCACCTCTTGTCTGTCGGGGTAGAGGGGTGGGCATGATGATGGCTCCAGATGCCCAGTGGACCAACTGTACAGGGTTCAGTAACGTCATCCACCTCTTCTCAAGTAATTACCTCAAGGAATTTATGGATTGCGTTAGCAGGTAAGTCATTATTCTATAACTGCGCCGTATTTATGTGCAAAACTTATCTATACTTGGTCAAACATCAAAGGTGATGGTTATCAGAACTGATTTTATTGCATTATTCCGAGGTCGAGTATTCCTATGCGATAGTATACATATCATATAAATCGATACCTACATAAGTGTTTATGTAGGTACATATATCATTACATAATAAACAGATATTTAATAATACTACCGACTGTATTATACATTTGTCAGTGTGTTACCAATAAGTCAGTGTTATGATGATTGGGAAGTTTGTATTGTTTGGTGTCAAAAACGCGAAGCCAATTTCACATCACACATATCTGATGGATCGGAATCTTCCATAATATGATGATGTTGTTCATTGTTCATACATACTGGATCTACCAAACCAGGCTTATTGGGTACTTGAATGTCAAAAATTAAATGTAACATGAACAATAATTTTACTAATTGATAATTCACAACACAGAATTTTTGAATGTGTCTGTCTCGAAGCACGGACGTGATCGCATTGAATCTACTAAAACAAAATTCCTGTTGAAATAATAATAGCAATACTAACGAATGCCAATTTGAAGCTTTTATTTGCACAGGTGAAACCAGAAACGAATAACGAAATATTTTATTCATCTGAGTCACGTTTTTCAATCTGTGAGAGGAATGAATAAAACCGCGCCGGTATACTATCCGTACTACATGTGTCTAGGTACCTACAGAAACAGTATGGCGAGTTCGACCTGCAGCCTGACCAGTACCGACAGACTGTACAAACATACGCCTGACTTATTCACACATTTATAGCATGTAGCCAAATTCGTGCGGCAGACGCACATAAACGTTATATGTATAGTTGGAGTTCATATTTAGGTGGCTATGTTTCTATATTGAAATCTACTATGTACAGGCTGATTCATCAATGGTACCCACCTGAAATGTCTACATCACGATACAGGGACTAGTTTGATAATTAGACTTATTTGTATAGAAGATGTTTAAGTGATTAGACCAAAATAAAAGTATAAACGTTTATATTATACTAGCTTTTACCCGCGGCTTCGCTTGCGTCACAAAAGGATAAAAAGTAGCCTATGTGACATATACCAATACACACAGCGCCATCTATACCAATACTTTTGTTTTCCCTCGGGAATATCAATTGATTCCGGAATAAAAAGTACCCTTTTATTTAATCTAGACTTCTAACTTTACGTCTGAAAAAATACAAAGCAATCGGTTTAATAGTTACGGCGTGAAAGTGGAACAAACAAACAAACTCACTTTCCAAATTATAATATTAGTAAAGAAGTTAAGATTTCGGAAAGTGGTGGCTGTCCTGAATTGTACTTTACGGTACAGACACGCAGTGACATAATATCTATTGTTAGTTCCAGTTTAGAGCATAAATAGAGTAACAACCAGAAGGTTTATTATGCAATGACTTCGTATCATTGGCCCCATACTGATAGTAGTCGTTGTCACATTAGTCCATTTGATAAATATTAGGTATCAAGTATTGATATTATTTCCTGGTACATATTACTTAAATAACAGTGAAGTAAGATGCAATATGACATTAAAGCAGGCGGGTATAGGGGTAGACACCCACAACTACTAGTCCTCAACTAATCAGAAGGAATTTGTTATCAACAAGTTAATTTAAGAATAATCACAAATTATATTGTTAAGCTAACAACACATACAGAGGTGCACTTTACGGCAATTAATGCCACTGTACAATGTAACACCCACTTTTCACTATTTGTGTTATGAGTCCCATGTAACAGGGGGTGAGCCTATTGCCATATACCTGGCACTCATATTTTATTAAACCCAGTAATACGTTGTTAAGCTAAATACTAGTATAATTTGTAACGTATTAATGTTTTAATTTCATGTTTATTTAAATCCATTCAAGTCTATTTGTGATGGAAGATAAGCCGAACTGGTCCACAATGAAAAAGCAATTGTACGAAGACTTCAAAGAAAACACATACGATTACGTCCCGGAGATATACGACAGAATCACCAGCGGCAGCGCATCTACAGACGAGCTCTAAATAGTACTATATTCATAGATAAATAAGGTAACGGATGCGTCAATATATGTTTGTAATAAAATAAAATAATGGTTCTTCGTTTCATAAAAGTAACAGTTTTAGTTTATAAATCATTAAGGCCTAATTTTACACAAGCTAAATGTAACAACCGTAACTTCGTATCGCGTTGTGCGTAGCAATATTTTCCCGCTATTATACTCGTAGACACGCCACGCATACCGTGAAATCAACTGATGAATCAGTCGCACGGAAAGAGTTGTATAGTATTCATTAAATAGGCTTAAAATAAAAACTTATTTAATGTTTACCGCTTTCTATTTTCTAGTAAAAAATGGCCGGATATGGGTAAGGTGTAGTTTGTAACTCTGTAACGCCAGTTGAATTCGCTGTTAGAACGCCTATGAGATTATTATTAGCGGGAAAACTACGCGCCACCAGCTACTTGCTACGAGATCCACGCTACGAACTATGCACTACGAACTACGCGCTACGAGCTATGACCTACGAGCTTTGCGGTACGGGCTATGTAGTAAGTGCTACAGACAACCCGATACCGGCAGCAGGCTACGGACTACGCGCTACGAACTACGCGCGACTTCTACGAACTACGCGCTACGCGTTAAGCGACTTAGTAAAATCTTTCTACATGAAATTTAATAACTTTTTGATTGCCATGACCATATGGTTAAACGCGTGTTTTGCTTTTTATTGTAATAAAGTGGTTAGATACTGTCTCTGAAATCTAATCCCAAACTCCACGGTTATATGAATTACAAGACCATACCAAATGGGAGATAGTTTATTTGTTTTAATAATAATTAAGGAAATTCAGAAAAGACATGTGGCATCAATGACTGAATGAATAGGCACGTAACAGATATTCGAACATCAAAACGTAAAGGTTAAAATAGGAACAATCTCCAAACTACAACTCATACTGGAACCATCAGAACCATCTTTTACCAGATCAACTTAAACACTACAACATACTGGGTACTCCCTAGTTTGTGAATGTCGCCCCATAAACCACTTTTCAAGTAGCTAGTTGCATTCCATATACAGAGATGGCGCTGTATCGAAATAACAGACCAAGTTTAATGACATCTTGAGGCATCAATACCATGAATTTAACTTAAAAGCCAGTACTGCTAAAAGACGATGTACTTGTTAAAAGTTTTGGTTTTTACAATTACAAATGATCAATTGGGTTGCGATAAGGATTTGCACTTGAAGAGAACATCTAAAAACAAATCGCAGCCATAAGTTCTAAGTCTACAGAATCCTGTACTTTCTTGTTTTGAAGTGCATAGTGTATCTGGCACTCAGATTTTAAGTTTGGGTGCTTCACAAATGGGCCGGCTCGACAGTAGGAATACCACGGCACCACAGAAAACCGACGTGAAATAACGCTAGCGTTGTGTTTCGTCGTATGAGTGAGGTTACTGGAGGCCCAATCACCCATCCCTCCCGTCTCCAATCCCTGAATCCCCGACAATCCTCAAATTCCTAATCCTCAAATGGCCGGTTACGCACGTGGGTAACGCCTCTAGTGTTCCATGTGTCCATGGGCGACGCAAATCGCTTACCATCATGTGATTCGTCGGCTCGTTTACCGACTTATACCATAAATAAAATGATAAAATCATTGCTATTTTCGGTAACACAGTAGTACAAGTAGTATCTAATATGATATCAAATCCTTTCCATCAAAACCCTTTTGTCTATCGATATGAATATGACAATAGAAAACACATTGTGTCTCGCATCATCTGCGTTCCGACACTTCACAGGTTAATAAATCCCCGGGATTTTTTATTTGGGACAAGCCCGCCACAGCCTCCATAAACCGCTGCAACTCCTGTAAGCCAGGATCTACAGTGGATACTACTACGAAAACACCGGAACACTGAAGTCCGGCACGTCCCAGAAACATGAGTAACTGTCTTGGTTCCCGCAACGAAGTCAATCAGAAGATAATATAAGAGGAGAAGAGAAATCCCCGGGATGTTAAATAGCCGTGTAAAATTCTATGCATTATCGTAAAAGTTAGGTACGTTATGAGTCCCATGTATTAAAGGAGTAACTACTGACATACACCAGTACAGGTAGAAGAAATAAAACCAAGACATACAAATATTCATCTTTATAATTATAATAAACATAAATAACTATAAGTATAATTAAACTAGACAGCACATAGGAAGCAATAATATCAACACAATATACAATAATTATTACAACAATACAGGCATTACAGATGTCTAATGAACATATATTATACTTCGTACGCGCAATCCCGTTTTCTCCCGTTCCCGTAGGATTTTAAGGACCATTTTCTGTCATAAGAACCTTCTCCTGACAATAATAAACACAACAAAAAAATCTGCCAAATCGGTCTAGCCGTCCTCAAGTTATGGCGTGACAACGGGAAACGGGTTTTATTTTTATATATATAGATATATATCAGGCATTGTATGTATATAAAACAAAACTCTGAGTTTATATCAGCGTGTCTTCTCAATTTCAGAGTTGTCAGGAAATGCCGACCCTGACCTAGTAATTTAAAAATTGGCGTGTAAACGTAATTTCATCATTTCATGTATTATCGTTTTGTTTTTATAGGCCGAGATGGCAGTACTTCAAACTACACAATAACTATTTTAGATATTCACAGACTTCTGTAACACGTTTTCCTTAATTAAATACTTGTATTGCAACATTACACTAAATACACAAAGGAATGTAGAAAATATACAATAATTGTGAACTTTATAAACTAATGAATAATCTGTTAGGTACTAAAAGTAGGTACGACTCTAATCATCTCTAATATATTGTAATATATTGCTGTGTGTGTAATAGCCGTGTATAAATATATTATAATATGTATATAACTATTTAGGCATTTATCAAACCATACATGTTCCCATCTTTGTATGTATTTACCCATACTTTACAACATTTCAAGAAGGCAGTGTGGAAGTTATTTCGAATCTTAATCATTATTATTATTGCCGTGTATTGTACTTATTAGTAATCTTGTAATTTTCACATCTCATTACACATTTTTTGCTGGTTTGATAAAATACATAATGACATAATTATTATAATGTTATTGCAAAATTATTACTTCACTGTTCTTAACAATCTACATAAAAATATGACGCTGACTATAATTCTATATATCTCTTTTGGTTATTGCTATTTATTGTATAATATATAATAAAATATATAATATATGCACTCAGCTAAAAGTAACAATCAGTAAAGAACTGGATCCATCCTAAATACTATCCAATGTAATAAAATATAATCTTTAAATGTTTTCTTTCTATTCCTTGTGTTATTATAGGTACATACTTGGAGTCACTCGGTTTTAACATTAGAATTGTATCAGAAATGTTTTACTTAGTAAAGACAACCATTAATCTATACAATTGCATCTATCCTAAATTACCTAGTATAGTGAGACTGCGAGGCATGTGCTGTGATTGCGTTGCCCCAGGCTGAAGCATGCGAGCCATGCGACCGACACTGAGAGGCTTGCAACAATTCTTAAGGCGATCACTGGCACCAAACCTAAACGTATGTGTAAGGCATGCATTCGTGACCTGACTTCTTTTCCCATGCTAAGGTATAGGCTCCACCAAAGCGGAGATGAAACAACCAATAAAATTTCGTTATTCACATCTGCTCCCCTCTTCACTTAGCTTCAGTGGAACTGGAAACCACAGAGCTGAGATAATAGGCGCAATGAAAGCGGAGATGTGTCTCAGCAAGATACAGGGCAGCCGCGCTAGATCCTCCCAGCGACAGTCGTCGTAAAGATAAAAACACATGCGACTTTACATCTCCTCTTTGGTGAAGTCCGTCCAGAAGATGTACCCATTTCAAAATAACTTTCAAATCTTTCGACGTTTGGTAGCAAATTGAGTTTCCCTTGCCCATTAAAATCTTACCGAGGTAGAATTTATCGTAGTACCTATGCTAATCTTTGGAATTCTATCGGATTAATACATATAGGGTTCGTATCAGTTCGTAAATAACCCTTATTGTCCAAATAACCGTGAGAATTTTAGACCTGAGTTTGCCTATACTAAACTTAGCTTAATAAAGACTCGCTACGCTGCTAAACTTAGCCGTAGGCTAATTTAGTAGTTGGACAAACGATCTGCTACAGAGGCGTTAGTACGAGTTTGTTTTACGTTTAAAATATTCGAAACGAGAACGCGTTCGGCACTCTGATTGGCCGGCGCCAATGAACCAACCAATCACAGCGCAGAACGCGTACTCGTTACGGTTACTTTAAACGTAAAAGAACCTCGTACTCTAGGCCTCTGGTCACCTGTTCAATAACGGCACTATGTGACATAGAACAACCGTGGCTACTATGGGGAAACTTGTCCAGCCGTGGACGACTCTAGCGACTATAATAGCGAGGGAAACAACAACGAGGCTTCTGACGAGTGCGCGGTACCATGGAACATACATTAACACTAATAACATCAATTTAAAATATTTAGTAAGCCGTATCACACTAGTTACAGTATTAACTAACGTCTAAGTTAATGCTCACCAAGCCAGGGTACTTTTATTATCTACATAGACTGCTAGACATTGTCTAGCACGATCTTTCTTAAGCTAAGCAATGTTTCAGCTGTTACCTTATACAATAAGAAAACTATTCACGCGACATTTGAGAATATGAACATCGTAATACCTTATAAAAGGAGCAAACAGGAGTGCTGCTGAATATGTCTAATACGTTAAAAATATCTAAACGTTACAAAGTTCCTTTCCTATGTGTGAACGTGAGAATATCATTAGGCATCTTCTTAATTGTGGTGTATCAAATACCTAGTACACGTTGCAATGTCGACATTTTTTATCTATATAGGTATATAATTTTCTATTTGGCGCCTTTTAGATAAGACAGGGTTTTTAATCCTATACATCAAAATTCAACGGAAGACGGTGTTCAAGCAACACATTCAAACATTTAACTAGCTAGCTAACAATATATAAATTAAACTTAAATGAACAATTCAGTTACAATTCTAATTGATAATATCTACAAAGTGATAGTACAGACAGATTATAGATACTATGACGTTATCATATAAGAATATATCACTTAGCTACAAACATGATTTAACATTTATTGAAACAAAAATTACTTGAAATTTGCTTCAAATTATAACGAATAATATTAGTATTATCATTAGAAGGCCTACCAGGATTAATATCGCCAGCCACTGGCGTCGATCTGAAATAATAAATAAACAACATTCGTTATCATTCCTAGAACATTATACGTGGAACAATCTTGCAAGAGTAGGCAAAGTATGTATATTTATATATAACCGCAAGCCGCAATCGATGTAGCAGACTCTTATTACACAATTACTACATTTTACACTTCTACGGCTTTAATATAGAGCTAACATTTAATTTCTTGTAATGAAATCCTTAGTAAAGCAACAGCCTGACGCCTGTTGATATTATAACTAAATTGATTAAACACCCACATGGCTTACCCACGTAAGTGTTTCACGGGGAGCTCATGAATATGAGCATCTAGCATGGCATGAAACTAGTCGAGTTATTCTCAAAATACCCCTACTCTTGCAAATCAAGCTCCAATGGGCAGATTTTTTTAAACGCACTTCCATTAGCCTGCTGTCGACCTCTCTTCTCTTAATCTGAAGAAACTGAATTTATTTAGTCTTTTTTTTTACTTTTTAATCCCCCCCTTTTTAATCAAATCGTGTATATGGTGGGTATATTCAACATGACACTAGGTTTTCCCCATATACTAATCTGACGCGCTCAAGTAACTACCGAAATCCCTTCATGGGCTCCCCTACTATAATTAGCCTGACGCCTATACGTACGTACGTTCAAACGTCATGCCTTCGTCAGATGCAGCCAGAAACTGAGTACATCACAATACAACGATTCACTAACTACTACTTTCAAATTTAAACACGGATTCATAGAAAATATTTTTGAAAACTCACCGTTATTCATATGGAGCACCTTAGCAACTTTCTTTAACGTTGAATCTAGTTTAGAATCAGCATTTTCAAGTTCTGTGTTCAAATCGTCTAACATCCTGTAAAAAGAAACACGTAATTAAGTAGTGAGTTGACAACTAGGTGATAATAATTAAATTGTTTTATTTATCGCTGTACCAGTGTACCACCATGATGAATATTATATTTATGTATGCAGGTAAAGGTACTTACACAGCCTGCTCGTCCAGTTCGATCCCAATCTGTTTAGAAACAGTTTTCAATGACCCCACAGAGTGGCTGATCACTTGCAGCTGGTCATTCTGACTCGTCAGCATCTTCTCCTGCATGGACATGATATCACTGTCATAGTCAAACCGGTTAGGACTGTCGGTCTGGTTGGCAAGTTTCGAGTATTTCGTATATTTTGGTGTAGCTGTCCAAACATTACTCATGTTGTGCACTGGACTTTCGTCGCCCAGCAGCGGTTCTCGTGCCGTCCCATCGTTGTCTCGATTTCTGTTCAGGCTCATTTTACTTTTCATCACCTTGAACAAGAACATTGTTACCTAAGTACACGTCTGTCTGTCGTATAAGGCGAGTGATTAGATACTGAGTGAAATTTTGCAGTTCAGTACAACTACTAAATCTACTTTCGATAACCATTACTAATGGGTCATTACCGTAAAGACTACAAACAAACTTTATGTTACGTTGACTTATTTGTCGTATTGACTGTTTTAACAAAACTTACCTTCACTTCTTGCTTCGTAGCTTCTATAAAACTCCGTCTTTCCGAAATTTCTTTATTGTCGATTTTGAATTTTGATGAATTTTTTTCTACGATACGTGGATAATTTGTTCAGGAAATTATTTAAATAGAATATTATAATAAAACAAGAATTGACTAATTAGATTTCACAATGATGAGCATGTAGGTATTTAAAAGTATTTATTATAAATTGTAATATAAAAAAGGATATTGATAGTATCTTCTAAATCCTCTAAGTCCCATTCAATACTACGGAGAGCGTTCCTCAACTCCGTTGAAGTCCATTCCACTTCAGGACTGTTGGGTATAGTTGGCGCCTTCGAAATCTCCTGCCACCTGAGGTATAGGCCGCGTGTTTTGTTCAATGCTTTGAACACCTCACTGCAAATTAAAAAAAATAGTAGTTAAACAGGGTTGTTTCAGTTTCCGAAGAACAGAAATAACCCTTTATATCACTTTATTTTTTTTTACTTTTTAAATAAAATCAGAAGGGATTTGATCTAGGTGCACCAAAGCCCGAAATACATAAAAATATATGTCGCAACGAAAAGCGAATAGGTTGCTTATGGGACGACGTGCTCCATCGTAGACCGCATTAACGCTAGCATGCGAGATAGTGGTCAAACGTCGGCCCATCAAATATACATATATAAAAACGTGTTTTAAATTTGTACTACACTCCTATGACATTTTATCTTATTTATTAGGGCAAACAAACAATGACAATGATACAAAAAAGGAACTAGAAATAGCCTACTAATTGATTTCCCGGAATTAGTGGTTTGGCGTCAGAGGTGTGGCGACACGTTAAAACTCGTGCTTTTAGGTAAAAAGGTTAATAACATGCAACCACTTTATAATCCACTCTATATCCATATTTATTTATAAATACAAATATAGTTTTATTATTACAATGTATGTTTACAAGAAGAATGTTTAAATATAGAATTTCACTTTTTCTTGCTTTATTCTTTTTAACATACTCTACATAAGCGCTATGTCAGCGGTAGGTTCAATTTTTGTACGAATTTTGTTTTTTAGAGTAGGTACGACACAAAATTTTGTATCATATTTCTACAAACAGTGGATGATAAAATTATGTTTAAATGCGTGGTGTTGCTCTCATGTAATTTTTAATTAATTATTTCAATTCAAATTAATTCAAGTAGTTTTTAAGTTATTGATGGGTTTGTAGTTAGATCGGGACTTTTTCAATAAAACCGAAAATGTTGAATATCTCAGAAACCATCCACTTTCGGACTAGGGAGCTTAGTGCCACTTTTATAGGAAATTAGTTGAATTATCACCTCCCGAGAAATACGTCGAGTTACAAGTTATCCAGTATAAAACAATATCACACAAATATGTATTATGCGGTATTATTAAAAATAACAAAAATGAAAACTGTACTAATATCTGTACAACTGATTAAATTTTATTTGGTATATCAAAGAAATGTAAGCCAGCCCTGTTAAATAGGTTTTTTATTAACTCGTCGAGTACCGTCATTATAGACACAATTATAGAACAATAGGTTGCGGTCACCGGTGACCGCTTGGTGTTTGACAGTTTAAGTGTTTTCTTTTTCAAATTTTAGTATATTTCATGTCATTATTATTTTCATATGTTAGTACTCTGATGTATCTGGATGTCATTATAGATTGGGTTTCTGAGATTTAATTATTTACTTATTAGATAGTTTGACTTGATGGTAGATTGCCGCTCCAGTGTTTCTTAGTACAGGTATACTGTATACTATATACAGGTGTATACCACATATACCACAGGTAGTGTATGTACTACTACTGTATACAGTAGTGTATAGACTACTGTACAGTATATACATTGTGTATACTGTATACACAATATATACTTGTGTATACAGTAGTCTCTAAAGCAGCTCTTGGGACACTTGTGGGCAGAGTGCGAGTGATAATAGATGTACTATTTTGCCTTCACTTATAGCAAAATGATTTTTATAGCAATGAACTTGATTATAATAATTAAAACCTAAAAGAAAAGTCCTCTCTATCATTGTTAGGTTACAAATATCTTTCTTTTTCGCATATCAATGGCTTACAGTGAAAACACTGCAAAATTTTACAGATTGCAGTTTTTTGTAAAATTTCATTTCTATAGCAAACTATATAAGACTTTAAAGTGCATGTTAATAAAGTCTAATTTGGTTTACTGTAAGAGCTCAATTCTAAAGGGTGTAGTTTCTTGTGCCTCTTAAAAAGTTACATATTTTACAGTTACACGGTTTTCACTATAAGCCATTGATATTGTGTTTGCTATTATTATCTCGTGTCGCAAACTGTAGGGTCGTCGCTCCTACTCAATAGCCCAATGAGGATATGCAAATTGGTCCGCCGGGCCCGGATGTCATGTGCAGTTGTTTATTTGTTAACCCGTGGTTTGGGGCACCTTGGATTTCAACGAGATACAGAATATTTCTTATTGTATTACCAAAGATATGAATACTAAAAAGTTTATGTATGTATGTGTGTATGTTAGAACACGTTAATTTCGGCAGCTACTGCTTTAAAATATTTTTTTTTTGTGTGGCATAGTCCATATATTAAGGATAGCTATAAGCTATAAAACATCACACTATGATCAATAGGAGCTGGGCTGCGGGTGAAAATGTATGGGAGTAGTTAGCCAGTAAATCAATAAAATAGCTTAGATATTTAAATATTAAAACAAAAGCCCTGGAATACATATTAATAATAATAATCTTAAATAATAACATATTTTTCTCAGCCATTATGCCATTGAAACATGTTCAAATGTACAATACCACAGAAAATAGTAGATGTAGAACAACAGGTACCAATAAGTTGTTCTGAGAATCTAAACACCTGTATGATTGATACTGAAACATTCATATTGAAACCTTTACTTGGAAGCGGCTAGGATGGCAAAGTAAGACATTATCGGCCCCGTGTGAGCTTCAATGTGGTATATGAATATTTAATGCATTCAAGCCACTTGTATTGATTGCTCTACTTTCTATAAGGTGTGACGTGTTAACTCAATATACAACCTTCAAGTCAAGCTTATCAGCTAAATAGTTATATTCCAGGAACTCAATCTATAATGACATACAGGTATATCAGAATGCTAAAGTATTAAAATATCAAATGACTTTAAACTAAAATTTGAAAAAATGTATTTATCAGGGCTAACCTACATTTCTTTGATATATATCAAATATAATCTAATTAGTTTTCTAGATATTTTTAGAGTATTGTTATGTAGATTGTTATTTTTAAATATTATCACATGCTAATGTGTGTGATATTATTATATAAGCACACAATTACTACAAATTTAAAAGTAAACTAAACAAAATGAGACAAATGTAGAAATATCTAAATGCAAGATCTTGTTTTATGCAGCACAACATAAAGAAAAATAAAATGTTCATTTAATAATATTTGACTAATCTACCTAAACAAATTAGAAATAGTACAAACCATTATTGTTATTACTGTAAGACTAAAAATTAAAAAATTAAGCTTTATCAAAAAAATATTATTAAAATTCAAAATGCAATACTTTTTGAGACAGATATACAAAGGAGTTCAAAATTGAGTCTGGGGCACCACCTCAAAACTGAGCAAAAAGCACACAATTTTTACGAGTGCAATTATCAATTGAATAGAGTGGTTAAGAGAAGTACTGCATTCACCAAGATATGAAAACATGTTTTTGCCACTTACTCTTTGACGACGTAAAATGGATCTTCTAAAGTCATGTCAAACAAGAATAACAACGTTCAAGCACGAGCTGATTCATGTGACGGACAAAGTACGCACGGAAACTTGCAAATAAAATTCACACAAACAGATAAACACACAGGTGTATCCAGACGATCCTTCGCCTATCCCACAAAATATCGACAACATGATACGTACCTACTCTGTATATAAGTCGCTCGATGAGAACAGTATTCTCCGTCCCTTGCTAACTTATGTAAAACAGGTACAGTCCGAGCTGCGTAACAAGTCAATGTTGCAATGCGCAATCGCACCACGGTCCACGTTAGCGGTGGAGGCGGCTAGATGCGACATCACCCCCTCACTCCCTCAATATTATCACAGTGCCCACGCACTTTCCTCCTCCTTTTCCACCCAAGAACACCCTGTCACCCTGATTTCCCAACCCACGATAGCACCCTCTTATTTATTTATGTCAAACGTCACTGGCACCGTTTGACAGTGACAATGTCGAAAATCAACGTTTCTATTTACGAATCTAAAGTTTCATAAGAAGTTACTAATTCATTCGGTCATTAAGTCACTAAGTCCTTTTTTCTATTCTTATTTTATCCTAAAAAATATTGACTACTACCCAGTGAGTCCATCAATCACCAAAAAAATCATTTATACCTACGAACACCCAGGGCATTACTTGTGAACCAGTACAAAAAATTCAAAATAGAATTTTGGAATTCATAGAATCTCATATTATAATCCTGGAGTCACACTATACGACATTTAATACTTACAAGTCACAACATTATTTAGTACCTAACAAATATCCACACATTAACTTTGGACTTTTAGGAGGATTCTAAAAAATGGTTATTCTACAGATATTTTTTTTATGACATAAGCCGGTAAACGAGCAGACGGATCACCTGTTGGTAAGCAATCGGCGTCGCCCATGGACACCACGAACACCAGAGGCATTACAAGTGCGTTACCGGCTTTTTGGGGATTAGGAGTTTGAGGATCGTTTGGAAATCAGGGATTGGGGAGATTAGGGAAGGAGAGGGTAATTGGGCCTCCGGTAACCTCACTCACACGACGAAACACAACGCAAGCGTTGATTTACGTCTGTTTTCTGTGAGGCCGTGGTGTCACTCCGGTCGAGCCAGCCCATGAGTGCCGAAGCATGGCTCTCCCACAATTATGCATGGCTCTCCCACAATTATGCATGGCTCTCCCACAATTAGATAATAACTTTCTGACGATTCTACAGGTTTTTACAAAAAGCGGTCATAAAAATGACCGTTTTTTGTTATGATAGGTATGCAGGTCGAGGGACTTTAAACTCGTGTGTAGTATTTTGGGGCTGACGCCTAAACTAAATACTATAAAAAGAAGAGTCCTAACCTTGACCTTGCCACTAGGTTTTAATCTCGATTGAATTGTGGAGTCTTGAACTCGTAGATTTTACTAAACTGTAATACAGACATACTAAAAACTCTCTCATCGCAAATGTTACATACAAGTACCTGGGTATGTCATAAGGATTAGGCATTTTAATGGACCGAGCATGAAGCAATCGCTGCAGAAGCGCTTCTTTGGCCTAAATAATGTATTGATATAATGTGCGAGCCTTAATGGCTGGATCATCCCGGTCTTGATGTATTATTTTTTAATATTTAAGTGGACTCAGATTGAACTTGACATCCTGGATAGGCATATCCGGGCACTGTTGACTACAAACCGCATGCATCACCCTCGTTCGTCGGTCATGGGGTTGTACATCCTACGGAAGTGGAGGGGTCGAGGCTTATGAAGTGCCAATACCCTACAAACTAAATTTTGAAACGTTTTTTCTTCTTAATAATGAAATATTCAAAAATGTATGAAAAATGTAATAAATAAAAATTTAGTAAATAATTATCGTAGAGGTATTGAAAATAATATTTTAATATTTGAAATCTTATTTTTATATTATAAGTAATATTATAATATCAATATTTTTCTACTGTTGAACTGTACATCTGTAGTTCAATCCGCCATTACCAAATACTATAAAAGTGTAGGTATGCACATTTTTCCGTAGATACCTATTTCCTATCTATTTGATATACATCAATGACACACCCTCCGACATACCAATACGCGCAACCACACGCCTCGCCACGGCAGTGTAGTTTCACCGTTAACCGAAACCATAGAGCACATTGTCTTTGACATTTCGACTCTTGCTAATATTACTCTATGGTTTCGTAGTCATTGTCGTAAGTGGTGCACACTACTGCATTCAGTCACACAATGTAAAGTCGAACTGTCGAGTTAACCTGGGTCATCATATTTCATTTAATCTATGTTGCTCGCCTCGTCTGCACGGCTCATGCTCGCTTTTACGGAAAGATAATATTGTTTTCTTTATTTTGTCGAAATAATTTACAAATTGTGTAAAATGAATTCTGTTCTAAATCCAGAAGCACCTGAGTTTTATCCACATTTGACGACGTTCACACAGGTAAGTGATTCAGCGACTTCTTTGGTTCAATGACAACATGCATGGTGTTTTTATTATTATAACACCTGAATGGTGGGTAATTTAAGTATTTGTAGCAATTAAGATGAAGAATATTGCAATTGAGGTTGCTTCTGAGTTGCTACACAGTGTACGTAATTGATGACACCCAATAACGCAAATAGACTTGTAACTTTGTTCTAGTACTTATAACTTTGTCTCAGTGTATAATATTAAAGTGAAATGTGTGAAACATGTGTATCAAACATGGCATACATTGTATGTGACAAAAATGAGGCTAAATAATGTATATGTGATGGGCACTTTGTAGCGGTTTGAAATTGACTTAAAATAAGCAAGCAAAAATGGTGTGCTCTGATTAAAATTACCATAAGTAATGTCTGCCTACTTCAATCATTATTTAAATATCAAAATCAAGTTGGTTGCATATTACTTAATTATTGGTAACACAATTATTGTGAAATTGATTTAGTAATTCCGGCCCAAGCACATGTAGGGTTACATGCGCTAGATAAATATGTAATAAAGGATAAAAAATACATTCCACATATTTTTAATAATATTGATGTAGTAAATAAGTATTTATGATGTTATTTTTATTAGGTGTTCATGCAATTTCATAAAGTAGGTCTTGTTATCGCAGTATCACATTCTTCATTTACTTGCATTGAATATTCCTAGGGACTGGACATCTTCAGTTATATCCTTTCAGCTAATCTTGATATGATTTATATTATAATAGTATGTTTATTTACTTTGTCTAATATACAAACAAAGAATTGTCATCCGACAAGCATGTTTAATAACAACTGTATGATGAACATAATTTTCTTACATTCTTATCTAAATACTGAAATAAATGTACTGTAATATATGACTTGATTAATGGTATATTAGCTTAATATAACACATAACATAACATCACGCCTTTTATCCCCAAAGGGGTAGGCAAAGGTGCACATTACGGCACAAATTGCCACTGTACAATGTAACACCCACTTCTCACTATTTATGTTATGAGGCCCATGTAATAGGAGGTGCATCTATTGCCATATACCGGGCACATTTCTAGACTCCGTGCTAACAGTGAGACTTTAAAAATCCCAATAATACCTTGCCTGACCCAGGAATCAAACTCGGGACCCCACACCCGGCAGTCGCACCCGCAACCACTCGGCCAATGAGGCATTCAGGCAGATTTAATATAAATATAGTTAAATAAAAACTGACAACATCTTACAAATTAATTAAACTCATTATAGCAATATAACAGCCATATCGTGAATCTCCTTTGAATACAACAATATTTCATTATTTTTTGAGATGCTTCTACTTTTCTATCATTTAACTAGGTATATTTGTACTATGCCAATGTGTCATTGAATGCAAGACAATTACGTTCATCATAATCATGGATATTGTAAAACGACTAACTGTTTCTTTAGGAAATTGACTATACATCAAACTTTGAATCCCTAATTCATCTTGTTAAGTAAAATAGCCAAATTTCCAGAAACATATTTTTACTTGTTTTAAATCATTAGCCAAAATTATAAGATTAATGTTCCTCAAGTCCGAAAAAAGTTTCAACCTCTTTTTTATCCGTTGTAAAGTAAATTTTTTTAAATTCCTGAAACATGTGTTTGACTGTATATTTCACTGTTGTGTAAATCCCCACAATCATATCTACACAATAGTGGAAATAATAGAATAACTTGTTATATGGTGAATTGGTGATTGACTCGATAGTAAAAGTCACTACATGGCTATAACATGTTTTTACAATAGATCGGCAATCAGAACATGGTTACTTCATGACACCATTTATCACCAGCCCCACTATTCCCATAGTTAATGTATCACCTGAATAACGACTTTACATTTGATGAAGATCAAATCGCTGCAATTTAGCAGTTAACTGACTGACAATGTAAAAAATTATGAATCCCGATTCAGCCGATGTTGTTATATTTTATTGAATGCTTGCTCAATGAAAATGTCCATGGTCAATGTCATCACTGTTTATGTTATTAATAAACAATATATGTAATAATATTGTCATAGTATTTCTTCTACATCGTTGGCCGAGTGATCTTAAGTGTGACTGCCGGGCAAGGGGTCTCGGGTTCGATTCCCGGGTGGGGAAAATATTACTGGGTTTTTAAAAAAAATTCTCAGTAGCACGGTGTCTGGAATTGTGCCCCGTATATGGCATTAGGCTCACACCCTATTACATGGGACTCATAACATAAATTGTGAAAAGTGGGTGTTACATTGTATAGTGGCATAATGTGCACTATATAATTATCTCTACTAAAAATTTAGTAACACTATGTGTAATTCGTAATTGACTTTAAATCGTGGAAGAAATAACTTAACATAACATCACGCCTTTTATCCCCGAAGGGGTAGGCAGAGGTGCACATTATACCACTGTACAATGTAACACCCACTTTTCACTATTTATGGTATGAGTCCCATGTATTAGGGGGTGAGCCTATTGCCATATCCCGGGCACAATTCCAAACTCCTTGCTACTACTGAGAATATTTAAAAACCCAGTAATACTTTGCCCGACCCAGGAATCGAACCGAGACCCCATGCCCGGCAGTCGCACTTACGACCACTCGGCCAACGAGGCAGGTAGAACTCATAACATATCTAGTGAAAAGTAGATGCTACATTGTCTATGTGCGTGTGTGTGAAAGAAAAAGAGAAAATGATAACTGAAAATTCCTGTCCAGATCATTATTTAAACATTAATAAAATACTTAGTATTGACTACCATTTAACTTGATTATAATAGTATTAATGATGATGTTAGATAATTAGTTATACATTATTTTCAGGGTGGATATGTAAAGGTGCACAAATCAATAAAATCTTCAAACACCTTGCCCGGTACACTGTCGTACGGTCTATTCAAGACATTCACCGATTTCAACATTCTTACCTGCAAACTAAGTGAAAATGTAGTAGTCCAATCGAACCAAATAATTGCGACTGAGCTACCAGCTGTGAAATTAAAACAGTAAGTACAACATTTTCAATTAACAAAGATCAATTCACAATGAGACTTCATTTTAAGGTTTTAAAAATAGTGATAAATATTGTTAAGTAATATAAATTGATATAATGTACTGTAACTATGATCCCATGTAGACTCGGTACATAAAAACCTTAAACTCAGTATGCTATGTCTCTTGCGAATCGATTCTTAAATCTTTAACAGCTCAGCATTTTTCACGAGCATCCTCAGTGCTCAATATGTGCATGAACTTCTTACATCATCTATTTTCACTAAAGCTAAAGCCAACTTTTGATCAGAGCAGCGGCGAAGCTGTTAGAACTGAATTTTATTTTCTTTATTTTACTTATTTCTTTTTGTCATAATAGTAAAACTCCTATTTTATATATCTAAATACTGCCAGCGAATGCCTTAAAACAATAGCTATGAAAACTTAATTCTTTTGGCCTTGAATTCTGCATGTTTCATTCATTCAATTATTTTGTTTATAAAACCGTCTTCAGATTTGCTGTCTCGAAGACCAGAAGCTAATTCAATTTAGTATTTCGTAGTATGCTATTTACAAAATTACAACTGGCGAATGTCGTCAACTCATTGATTTTATATATTCTTAGTTCTGCACAGAACTATTAATCTTATACTATTATGTAAAACTGAAGAGTTTGTTTGATTGTTTGTTTGTTTGTTTGTGTAAACGCGTTAATCTTAGGAACTACTGGTCCGATTTGAAAAATTGTCTCTGTGTTGGATAGCCCATTTATCAAGGAAGGCTATAGGTTATAAAACATCACGCTACGATTAATAGACGCCGAGCAGAGCGAGTGAAACCGCGTGGAAGTAGCTAGTAAGCTAATATAGCTATTATTTAAATCTTTGTAATTGCCATATCATTGTTTCTCCTTTACGATAATCTCATATCTATGCGATACATGCTTGTAAAATATCTTTATCGTATCAGAATTGTACACAAAGGACCAGATATCCTTGCTTTGGTCTTTTATTTATTATGTTCTTTTGTCAATCTGCAGCGGCTAAATGATTAAGTTTTTGATAATGTTGATTTTTTTGCGAAAAGTGTTGTGTTATGAAGACGTACATACGGCTGGAAATAACTCCGACAGTTCTTTAGCTCAAAAAAATATTAAATGCTAGGCGACCGTGTTCATTATCAATTATCTATTATAAAGGCAGGGTGCCTACAACGTAACGGGTATCGACCTTTAATTAAAGCATGAAGAGTAGTTTGATAACTTCCATCGGGTCATCACCTAGCAAGCTCGGCCCTTGCAGGTGCGTGCAAGGATAGATTATGATACTGATATTATAATTCGTAAATTAGCTAGCGTCTTATATGTAATTTTATATCACGCTTTAATCTACGTGATTTTGCGTTACGATTTGCGAATGCTAAATCTAAATTGGATAATCGTTCACCACCAATATTATAATAAATATCCCTTGAAAAATGGTTAACTACGTCTGTTTTGTTTTAGCAACGACCTAGAATCAAATACGGAAAAAATAATAGACGTTAACGACAGTATCCTTGACAGGATCAACATAAATATTGATACTGCGAGTGGCGTCAACAAGACAAGTGATCTATTCGTAAGAGGAGTCCAAGCAAGGGGAACTCATTGGAACCAGAACTCTGCTGTAATTGCGAAAATTCAGGTCAGTACTTACTTTCTGTTATTTTTGTTCGTGGACCGGAGCCTCGTACACTCTCTTCACGAAAATAATGCTGCCTCTTTTGTTCTTCGTCTTTTTTATGTAAGGAATTATTTTTACAACTATTATTAGGTATGATATGCATTGATGGTTTTAAGTTATGTCTTAAAACTATCAATGAAGATAAAAATAAAAAATAACAATCAAGTGATACCATTACAAAATAGAATTTCCAGACTTATCCTTTGTGTTCGCACTCGGTTAACGTTAGCTGTCCGCACCGCAGACAATGACCAATATCCGCGCAGCATATGGAGCAGGGGCAATATACATATGACCGAATTAACTTCTAGTCTTTGTTGAACAAAGTTATGTTTTCGGGCCAAAGAGATGTGACGTCTTTTAAAACCGATCTATGGATTCAGGACATTTCAAGTGTTATTGCAGTACATAAGAGTCAATGGTTGTCAATCGTATAAATTACTTGCATTTAAATAATAAAAACACGATTTTGTATATGTCTCGTGTCGAACGTCCGATCCTGCGACAAGGTTGTGCGCAAGATAGTGATACATATGTAGATACTTTATTATATATATCAGAATCGCATATCAATCACGAAACACAGCAAATTTTTTTATCAATTTACTCATTGGCACGTAATGCCCTACGTTCGCGAGCGTTTTGTATTATAAGACAAGGTTGTACAAGCGTTGTGAAGATAAAAAATATAACTGCTACAAAACAATATTATACAACTCTACAATTGATTTGAATTTTAAAGTAATAAAGAATTAGAGAGGAAACTCTGCTTACACCATTACATATCAACGGGCTCCTGTAACTCTTTGGTCATATAGATGGAATGTTTATATAGACATTATAATGTAGGTATGAAGTATATAATGTTAAGGAGTTTCCTCCAGTGGCAACCCCAGTCACCTTCGGTTCGTCACAGTCACATAGTTCGAACACGTGCTGTAGATACATATTTAGTGCATTAAAGTCTCGAATAAGGTCGTGGCCTTGAGCGGCAGGATATGAGGATGCGGCCTCGTTAATTGCGGTGCGGTGATAAAGACGTTGATAGCACGCCAGTCGCCCAGCCGCGGCGCTAGTCTTCGCTACCATACCTTATCCACCAATTTGCTTCATTGATTGGTAGTTAAGTGAGCACTTCACCAGTTTTCCTGCCCGGAAAATTGTGTACCAACCTTCTGTGATAAAAATCTTGCTCTTTGTTAGTTTTCTGACGAGACACTTATTTAAGTGTACGCAGACTCGATTGTTAAGTCCAAGGTCTTGGGTTCGATGCCCTTGTCAAGAATAAAGTGAAATTTATTTCTATTAAGTACAAATGTATACTGTGTACTGACAACCATCTATTACATAGAACGCATTTGTATGTATATATAACCCACCCTTCGCTGTAGCAACTAAACGACCTACAAGTATATTCACGTCTACAACTTCTGTACTTATAACTACAAACGCAATAGAATTCAAATCTATCTCAATACATTTATAATGACTGTAAAGTACACTCATTTATTAGTTCCACACACTTTTGTTCTTTCATAAGTCCCAAATAATGTTCAAATGATGTACAACTGTCAAGAGTCATCAAGTAATAATGGCATTCTCTAATCTACAACGTCTATCAAATATTATTTGGTCGCTCCCCAATAACAATTAACAAGCCGTAAAACAGTCATTATCATTATCTTATAATATTTGTACGATAAGCGTTCGTCAAAATAAACACCAATGATTTATTTTCGTGTACTTGATATATTTCTCTATTCGCTTACTTCAATGTTTTTATAACACGACGCTCCATCTACCTAGTTATTTAGACCCCTTAACTTTTATACCTTTACCCTATTTGTTGGTGGGATTCTTGACAAGTTCGTCTCTAGAGTTATGTCATACAGACATTACTTAATACTTACATTTTACTAATTTGATGTTAATATTCCAGGTTGGCTCTGCAACATTTATCGGCGCCAAAAATATAACTCGACCTCAAATAAACTTTAAGGACACTATCGATAATTCCGAGAGTTTGTGGGTGCCAAAAATATCGGACAAACCTAACAATATCAAGCCGTTGGCTTTGAATATTTTATACAACGAAGAAGGCGAGGCAGTCGGGTGAGTGCAAATGTCTATATTGACCGTAATTGGTTGTAAATTGGTAACAAAATTGATTAAATTGAATAATATGTCGTCGGACCTGCATGCCGCTATCTGCCGGATGGGTCTGCAATTTACTATGCATCCACAATGCTACAATTCATCAACGCCGTTTATATTCTCGTTACTGCTGCAAATAGCACCTGTATTGAATCTCAGGGTACTTGTATAGTCCATTCTATTGGTCATCAAACTCATTGTGCTGGTAAATTCCGTTTATTAAGTATTAAATTGGAGGAGAGTCTGTTTACACTCGCTCTGGGAACGTTATCACGTTCCAGTAGTCAGCGCAATGCTGTGAGATAGTATGATGTTTACATTTTATTCCATGTTATTTCGTATGATACAAGTACTTAAGACTTAAGCAATAGAATATTATCCATAGAAACCAGTTACTTCTGACTGCTTTGAGCGATACTTCACCAGGTCTCGGGCTCGATGCCAGAGACAAAATAAGATAGTTGTATTTTAAACGGTCCTACTGTTTCTATAGTAATTTTAATGGACACCATACTCTTGTAACATCAAATGTGGTTAAGTAATATATAAATAAATTATTGTACTAATTAATCAAACCGATATTTTCGATTGGTAGTTGATAGTTTGAGACACTAGCTAATGGACCTAAATTGCGTATCAGAGGTAATCAGAGACGTGCTGAATTCATTTACATAGGCACTTTATCTATGAAGTACATGAATTGGCTAAATTGAGGCGTTACATAACGTTCGTAACGTTCCCAGTATGCACTCGATATTGGTATCCAATTATGCATCATGAGAAGCACCAGATATTATTGAACTGAATGCTGCTTGTAATAACTGGTTGCATTTTACATATTAACCCATTGACCGCATCACTGCTTGCAATAAATTGCTATCAATTCGCCATTCGCCAGTCTTAAATTGACACGATCAATCTTGGTACTTGATGCCTATTAAGTGCACGATGAAAGGTTACGGGAATGGATGCCGGGTGAACAATTTATATGTTTAAGTGCTAGGTAGGTTGCATTGTGCATATATTCTAATTACGCACATTGCAATAAAGTTGTATTGAAAAGCAACCTTTTATTTAGCTACTATAAGCTAGCTTATTCAATTAGTAAATACATAATGTAAACAGAAATCACTATCTGAATAGGGTAGTTTCCAGGGTAAGAAAATTAAAAATGTAATTAGTCCGTCAGTTAGATAATGAAAAAGTATTAGACACGTATTTTCTCGTATAAAGTTACAATAAGTACTTAAATAAAATGGAGTTAAGTTTATGAGTGGGAGTAGTTACGTCACAACGTGCTACATTCTGTTGCACGCTGTGACGTCACACGACATTTCAAATCCATATATCGTCGAAATTTTGTGAGAAAAGAAAAAATACGTATTTAATGTTTTAAAATAATCTACCAGACGGACATTAAAATAAAATTTAGGAAACTAGCCTATTATTGAAAACATTTTTTTCTGTATAGTAGGTACAAAGACATGTAACTTTTAAATAATGGAATGAGAGTTGACTAGAAAATAAATGCTTCAAGATTTGATTAGTAGAAAGGAAATTAATGTTTAAAAAATTTCAGGTATGAACACCCATATAAAGTTGAGTTGGATCTATACCACCCGCCGTCGCAGTTCATCGACCCCGATGTCGAACAGTTGGCTTACCCCGCACCACTCGAAGAAACGATGTTCACTTACGTGGACACCGAAGCTAAGCTCGACGCCCTCGTCGAACACTTGAACACTGTAAACGAACTGGCCATCGACCTCGAACATCATTCCTACAGGACATATCAAGGTCAATAACCCTATTTTCATTCCAGACTATTTCATTTAAATTTGCAGTCGCAATTGAAATGCGACCTTATTTTGTTGAATTTAAAATATCTTGTTTATTAACGTCTTAGCTTGGCAAATACTTTAGATGAAAATTTTACTGAACTGTTTAGTTCTTTGTTTGTATATTGATTTAATGTAATTTCAATAGCATTGTACGTTATTGATTACGGCAGTCTTAGCTATCTTTAATGAAGCTAATGGATTTGTTTCTTTCTTTGGTTGATATTGATATTTATCTGTAACTATGATTACGAAGATAAATGCTTCTTTGTTAGACTGTGCCTAGCTTGTCTCTGTATACGGGTTGAAAGTTGATGTGATATGATACTTGTTGATGGGATACTTACTGAATAATTTTATTTTGCAGGAATAACATGTCTGATCCAGGTCACGACAACGGAGGGCGGTGACTTTATTATCGACGCTCTGGCCATTCGCGAACACATTCATAAGCTTAACTTGGCGTTCACTGATCCTAAGAAGATTAAAGTAAGTCTTCCAACCCTTTTAATAAACGACCTGTAATACGAGAACCTTGTAGCAAACATAATTGTTGTTACAACAAGAAGTATCTACATACTTTTTAACATGGGCATAAATAATGGAACTCGTGGAATTCGATTGCATGTGTGGTATAGTGACAGGGTCGACTGGTGATATTCAGAATTTGATGAATGATAACTACATATTAAAATAAGCATTATAGAAGTAATGCTAAGTAATAGTAAACTAGAGTTTGACCAGAAACAAAGGGTTCTGGGCAAAGGCCCAGCAAGTTGTGGCCTGTTTTATTTATTAATCTTATTTTATCTCAGGTATTCCACGGTGCGGAACACGATGTGATATGGTTGCAGCGAGATTTCGGTGTGTACCTAGTGGGTATGTTTGATACACATCAGGCAGCTACGGTACTCGGCCTGCCAGGACTATCGCTTAAATACCTCTTGATGAAGTATTGCCAAGTGGATGCTGACAAAAAGTGAGTTAATTTTTCCTTGTATTTTTGTAATGTTAAAGCTTATTGTTAGACCAGAACCATCCAACCGAGGGTCAGGGCAGATTTTTCAATTATCAGTTAATCCTTAACTGTAGAATAAAATTGACATTTGACAGTTTTTAGTATGGAAGAATTATCAAATATTCAAAGTTATTCTTCAGTTAAAATTTATCCGGCTTTGGAAAAGTCAACCGTTATTGTTATAACTGTGTTGAAGTTACCTAACCACGGAATAACAAGAATAATACTAATGTCCTTTATTAATTATGTTTAGGTACCAGCTAGCAGATTGGCGGATGCGCCCGTTGCCCGACGAGTTGATAACTTACGCTCGCATGGACACCCACTACCTGCTCTATATCTGGCGACAAATGAAAGCAGATCTTTTGAAGAATGGACAACCGAACCTCCTACTCTCCGTGTTCGAAAACAGCCGACAGATCTGTGGCACTGTAAGTATTGCGAGAATAGAATTCTTACGTCTTTAATAGCTTTGTTTCTTTTAATTTATTTAGATTCATATTCAACTAGCTTCTACCCACGACTTCGTACGCGCTATCTCGTTTTCTCCCGATCCCGTTGGAATTTCAAAGGGATTTTGACTTAAGAACCTTCTCCTAATAACAACAAATACAACAAATTTGTGAAATCGGTCCAGCAAATTTCAAGTTATGGCGTGACAACGGGAAACGGGTTTCATTTATATATATATATAGATAACAGTATGGATCAGTCCACTACTTAACAAAACTGAAGACTATGTACCTCATTGTATTAATTCAATGTCCTTTTTCTACAACCCAACTTATTACTTACTTCTCAAAAAGAACGAGAGGAGGAGTTTCGAAATCCCCAGGTTTAACAGGTTTAAATCTCTCGAGAGCCCTGCCCAGGTCTAAATAATAAAAGGACGATATTTAATCATGTTGCATTATCGTATTACAGACATACAACAAGGAGGTGGTAACTGAGACGAGCCACATTCCGCTATACGTGCGCTCCAAGAAATCGTTTAATTCGCAGCAGATGGCAGCTCTAAAAATGTTGTATAAGTGGCGAGACGGGCAGGCCCGTTTGCTCGACGAAAGTACAACGTAAGTACTGCTCATTGATGTATAATTTTTTTATGGGATAAGCCGGTAAACGAGCAGACGGATCACCTGATGGTACACAATCGGCGTCGTCCATGGACACCTGGAACACCAAAGGCGTTACAAGTGCGTTACCGGCCTTTTGGGATTAGGAATTTGAGGATTGTTGGGGATTCAGGGATTGGGGAAACACAACACAAAGTTGTTTCACGTCGATCTTCGCCGTAAGGCCGTGGTATCACTCCGGTGAAGCATGGTTCTCTCACACTAATCATCATATTTGCATCATCACATATTATTCAAATTTTGTACTCAATAAAGATTGAACAAGAACATGTGCAGTCATGTCCGTAAGGTGCACTTGTTGCCAGTAATGTGTTAAGCCACATCAACAGTGTACAGAATCGAAGGCCGGTATACATTGCTACTTTCCAGCAAAGCATCACATATTTGGTACTCACAATGAATACCACACAATTGATGAATGTTTGATGGATATTTAATTGCAGCAGATAAATGATAATTACAGTTACAAAATACTTAGTTACAGTATAGAATACTTTTTGTTTACTCAGAACATGGTTTACCTAATAATATGTATGTTTTTCAACAGGTATCTTCTCCCAAATCACATGCTGCTAGCTCTCGCCGAGACGTTGCCGCGAGAAATGCAAGGTGTTAACGCGGTCTGCCATCCGATGCCCCCATTCGTCAAACAAAACCTGATCACTATACATAGAATGCTCCTGTCGGTATGTTACAACGAAAATATGGAAACTTACACAGACTACATCACACCTATATTCCCTCAAGAGACTTGGCCTATGTACCAATATTATAATGCTAACTTTTACTACTCAAATTATTAGTAAAAGACGAACTCATTTTATGACTGTAAATTTAATATATTTATAAAGCCATATAAATCTAGGATTTCTGGCGCTATTGATAGTTTGGAGTTCGGCTTTAAGTCTAAATTAAAACTGCTAAAGCAGTGATCATACCAAAGTATTCGCAAAGGTCACACGACCAAAAGCAATGATTGTTGTCAATAATGTACATTCTAAAGAACTGATATTTGTTATTTGTACTATTTTGTTTTGTTTTGTTTTTGTAATTAAATTAGTATAGACAAGTTTTGATATGAAAGATCTGTAATAGGTGCCTACACTCTACAATATCACTTAGGTTAAATGTTGTAAATTTTATTTTTGTGTCACACACAAAATAAGAATTTCGAAATCGAAAATTTCTTAATCCCCCCTTGACGTGTGAAATAAGCCCGACACGTAATAGGGCTGTTATTTTTGGGCGATACTGAGATGAGATAATATTTAGTGTCGCGAGTTGCCGAACGAGCCGCAACTGTATCAAATGCCGACAAGTATAAGGAGCATTATGAACACCCCGCTACAACCACTGTCGTCGTATGGAGTACACGACTTCGCACATTACACGGACTACAGGTAAATGGGCCGTACTTAGCGCACCATACATTCCACGCACAGTAACTCTATGTATTAGTTAGGTACTTCATGTATGTCATTGTTGTAGTTGTAGTACATAACAAATGATACAGCTTTTGAGACAATAAAGGTTTTATGATTAAAAGTTCTCAATTTAACTCTTTACCCTACTAAGTTATGCTTTTTCTTCGAACGTGAAAATATATGACTGTACACATGTTCGGAATAAATGCACAAAACTGTAATTGATCTAAACAAATTACAAATTGACTTCAGTGATAATAATGCGCACAACTTATGAAATTATTTAGCGCTCGCTGTGTAGTTACTTGACTTTGTAACATCTTAACTATGTTTTTAACAATTTTGTATGACAACTTGTTCTATAAAAGATAATATTTAGACGTTTTTTATCATCAACCATTTTCTTACTTATAGTCTTGTTTGTAATATGTGCACATAGTTATAGATAACTGCCTATTAACCATATCATGCCGCTTCTTTTGCTTCCTGCACTATCACGCATGTCCTGCTTTATTTTACTCCTAACCTGTTTAACCCAACCATTACATAATCTATCTGATCACACGTAAGTACGGCGTTATTTGTATAGTAACTATATTTAAAAGGACATCACACAAGATCACCGGTTTTGTGTTCAGAATGTATCAAAGATCGAAGGCTGCAAACGTCACAAATACTTAAAATTGTAATAAATAATTATCGCCAACCAATTCGGTATTAACGCTGGAGCCCTCAGGGGTCAGTACTTTCAGCGACGCTCTTTTTGCTGCACATAAACGACCTGCTTTTAGCCTTAGCCTTTACCCGGTATCTTTGGATATATGCAGATGACACAGTTGTTGAAAAGTACGTCTGATGCACGGAACTAGCGGAACACAGATCCCGTCTCTAAGAGAATCCATGGTAGAACGTTCGAACTCGTTCTTGAAGGCGGTCTCCGCCTTGGGTGACGCCAATTTCATCAAATTCAATGCTAGCAAAACCCTGGTGTGTCTATTCTCCGCCAAGCGGCGTCAATCTTCGCTGACTCCTACTTTCCGGAATGTGTCCGTTCTAATTAGGAAGTATCCTGAGGAGGGTGAGACCGTACTTCACGCCGAAACAATTGCTGAGCCTGTACCAAGTACAGGTTCGGTCCTGTATGGAGTATAGTTCCCATCTTTGGGACAACTTGGCTGAATCTCGTGAGTGTGCGGGGGAATTGCACAACTTGACTCCCCTAGTCCTTTCCATCATCGTATCACAAGACAATCGGCGAAGTGTCTCCGATTCGGTAGATGTCCCACTCACACGCACAAAACGCTTCGCATCGAGTTTCCTTGTGCGTACTGCTAAGGAGTGGAATTCAGAGTCTGTGTTTTCTGAAGGGTATAAACAAGGTGTCTTCAAGGCCCGAGTGAATAGGTTGCTTATGGGCAGATGTGCTCCATCGTATGCCGCATCATCGCTTACCACCAGGCGAGATAGACAAAGAATATCACATGTATTCTTTAGACAATGTCTGTCTGTCGGATGATCTGTTACAAACGTGATTCACTGCTCGAGAAGAGGCCTTATTGCACCATTTCAGAAGTATAATAGCTCTGCTGGTAATAAACAGACAGACGTTTTGTAGATTTTTATAATAGTTTTTAATAATAATTTAGTAAGGTTATAATAGTTTTTCACGTGGTTCGAGGCAACCTGGTTCATGGCACGAGCACAAAGGCGCAGCACTACTTTAGCTTGTATAATTGATAGATGAATTGACATTTGAGATTAGGCTGCAGAAATTAATTATAAATGCTAATAGATCTCTATATATCTCTAGTTATCTCTGTTTAATTTCCTTCTAGAATTTTTTGATCAAACTTGAAGAAGGTGATGTTTATACGTGTAGACTTTATTGTTAGGTTCTTAATCAGTTACTTATTTATTAGGAAGTAAAAGAAACAACCGTCTAAAACCTAGTCGGGGATCGCGGGACGATCTCCGGCCCCCGTAAGCGCGGGACTGCGGACGGCGAGCATGGGTGGCTCCCCGTCCGACCAGACACAGACCCGAGCGTACGGCGCGTCGCGTTCCGCGCGCGCCTCAAAGAGCCATCAGACCACCACAGATGGGGCCCAATAGGGCCGATGCCGATTCGGAGTCGCGGAGAACCTAACGGGTAACCGGGGCTCCGGCTCGACGTGCAGGAGAAGGAACGGGGTGGTTTTTAGTCAGTAAGAGTCTGACACTCCCTCTCGCCTCACCCAGGCGGAAGCAGTCATCCATGATTTTCCCCCGTTAAAAAAACCTATATCAACCTTTACCTGGTAAATTCCTCAGCGGTCCCGGTGACCGCTCTCCACTCACTGCATTATAGACCTTATTTCCGGTGGTTAGTCCTTAAAACAATATATTGTAGATTCTTCAGCTTTATTCTCAGTAGTGTAACTAAAATTTTATTGAAGACTTTTTACATAACATTTTATCCTTCAAGGGGCAGGCAGAGGTGCACATTACGACACTTAATGGCCACTGTACTGTACAAAGTAACAGCCACTTTTCACTATTTATGTTATGAGTCCCATGTAATATGGGGTGAGTCTATTGCCATATAAAGGTAACAATTCCACTCGCCGTGGTTCTATTGAGATTTTTTAACCCAGTAATGCTAAGCCCAACTCGGAAATCGAACCGTTGCCCAGCAATCGCACTTCCGACCACTTGGCCGACGAGGCAGACTGTTTAATGTGTAACAAATATTTTATTGGAAATAAAAGCAAATATTTATTTTTTAAAAGTTCGATATACTTATACTCAAACTATTAATTTCTATTCAGTAAAATGACAGCATCTATTAATTGCCAATTTGTATAGTCGTTTAGCGATCTCCAGGTTTTTGTGGATGACGTTTGGTATTTGAATTTAAGTTTCACTAGAGATATGGTACTGACTAATAATATTGAATGAGGGTAGACGACTAATTTTTATTTTAATGTCCGTCTGATAGATTATTTAAAAACATTAGACACGTATTTTTTATTTTCTCACAGAAACGAATAGTTTCGAAGATATATTGATTTGAAATGTCGCGTGACGTCACTTCTCAGTACATTTTATACTAAGAAATGACGTTTTAGCCCCCACTCCTAAACTTTGATTCGTTTTATCTAAGTATTGTTTTATTATACGACAAAATAAAAAAATACGTATCTAATATTTTTTCATTACCTAACTTACGGACTAATTATATTTTTAATTTTCATACCCTGTCATCATCCCCATTATATCTAACTGATAACATCAACATACAAGAATAAATCGATTAGGGACATAAAATGAAACGATTTATTATTTTCAAAATGAAGATATACAGATTTCTGTGGTGGCTAAATGGCGTAATTTAATAATGTTATGAAGTTTTGTTACCGATTTAAAATTAATCGTAAATTTTAGATTGATTTTTACGATATTATTGTTGACACAATCAATACAAATCATGCATCAACCTCTGTGGTATATCTGTCAATATTTTACCAATTAGTTATTATATTGTGCTATTAAAATCTCAGTAATTTTTAAGTTATTTATTGCTAATATTTATTTTCTATCTTCTACAAAATAAAACCAGCTTAAAATGGATGACACCATTATACCATATAATGTCATCGAGTTTAGTTAGGGAAAAGTAAATAAATGATTTTTAATGTCTGAAGATATTATTAATGAATCATTATTATCATTTATTAATTACTTATTACTGTTAAAAAGATAAGGGTACTTGTCTCATACAAGAAAATCAAATAAGTATGAAAAACCATTTACTTGACGATATCATAAAAAAGCAGTGACAATTATAACTGCTATTAAACAGTATTTCAAATAAGTTTTTTACGGAAAACCTTTTCTCCTCCGATACGTATTTGTGTTATAAATGCCAATTCGATGAAATGTATAATTGATTCTGAGTCTGTTACGCACTGTGTTGACTACACATTACGTTCATTACGTTGCCACACTGAAAATGTAATTTTACTGAATCGAATTAAATAAAAGTATGAGTAAACTTTAAGAGATTTCAAAAATCCGTTCTTAAACGACTGCCTATTTAAAGTAATCACTTAGATATTCACAATTTACTTATCAAATAGGAATATAAAAAGGAATACTAACCAGAGTAAAAAACCATATTGTAATTTGAACGTAACCGCTGCACCACGTCTTGCGAAAACATGTCGATAATTCGAGATGGAGGCCGGGAAGAATAAAATATCTCACAAGACCTTAGACCACCCGAAATTAATTTTCCTTACACGCCACTCTTAAGTGAGTATTACAACACCAGCTGCCGCCATTAGTATTGGCGGCAGACTAACAGAGAGTGCTCAACCGGTTCCCCCCCTCGCTAACTAGGGCGCAGTGCAGCGGTAGCGGTCAAATTATACAAATACCAACCTTATAATAAAATAATGAATGATTGTATTACAGTGAAGAACAACCGATCAACTTGGACTCAGCTGCTGAACTGTTGGACACCGAGTATAACAACACAGCGCCAGAGATCGAAGCATTCTCACCAGGAAATTTGATATCATATGGAACAATTGTAAGTTGTTTTAATTTTTACCCAATCTTCTTATTTGTACATGAAAGTATTTTACTTACCAACTTCTCTTTTTTAAATATATCAGATTATTTTAATGTCAGTCACGTAGACCACATTTTTCCAAAAATTAAACACGGCGGTACATACATAGTTTGACGTCACATGTTAGTATATTAACAAGTGATCTAGCCAGCCGCCTGCTAAACCTTTAATTTAATGTATCTACATAGTCTTCCTTTACTTCGAAATTCATTATCTAACGAACTAAATGAATGATTTCCTTCCATGCTCTAACATTTTATTATTCACATTTCAGGTTTCGGATTTGAACGCAGATGCTCAACTATTCATTCCTCCATACGACAGATACAGAAAGTATCGTTCCATAGCTCAGGTACAGTTGTTTCAAAATGTGTATGTATGTCGCAACCAACACTTTCGTTCATTCAAGGCTAAGTTAGACTTGACTCGAAGATTTATTACAAGACCTATAACAAGCATTCATTTACAAAATGATAGATTTTTATAATACAAATCTAAAAGTTGTAGATTAAAAAAACATTATGGTTTCATCTGGGTAAATGTTGTTTATTATGGGCGGAATCGTTTAAAGAACTTTAAATTCGCGTTCATATATATTTAAATGAATGTTTGAGTTAACACGTTGACGTAAACTTCTCATATGTTAAGTAGAACACGAGAACAATATATAATTAAAGCTTGTGTTGTGTGATTTATATACAAATAAATATATTACTTCAGTAGAGTATTAGTCTAGCTCCCTATTCTGTAAAATGCGAAAATACTGTCTTAGATAAATCGAAAGCTTTTATCAAATCTACGAACAGAACGAATAAAGTGGTGGGGGTAGCCGAAAATTTGTTCTACGATTAAACGCAGAAACAATAGCTTAGTTGAGAGGACTCCATTTGATGGATTTCGTCTCTCCATACGCATGCCATTTATATCGTTTCATGGTCGGGGTATTTTTCATCCAAGTGGTGGTAGAAGCGTGCAGATGTCTGTGTCGTGCCTCGCTGCGAGCCTGTAGGACAAGTTAAACTGGTTGGCTGTGACATATTCCTTCAGTCACTTTCAGTTTTTGAGTTAAAACTACGTAACTAGTTTTAATCAAACGAGTGGTAGAATTATTTTAAATAGTCTGCTTTGAATTCTGACTAAACAAGTCGCTCTTTTAACCTGTGAAGTGTCAGAATGCACATCTGCGCGAGACACAATGTTTGTTCTATTGTGTCTCATATATTTCAGTCAAGGAGGTTAAAAAAGGCTAAACAAAGTATTCTCAGAAATCGATAACGTGATTTCTTAAGACCACATTATATCAGTTATTCATACATAGTTCCATCTCACTTTGTATTTATTTTAACAAGATTTTGTATTTCTACAGTTGGAGGAGATGAAGGAATACAAAGAAAAAGAAGCAAAGGTGGCGGCTATTAGTAAAGGCAACGAGTTGATAAAAGCAGAAGTTCTTGCCAAACTACAACAAGCGCAAACACAGATCGAAAACGAAGACAAGAATAATACTAAGCCGATTGTGAAGATTGAACCTGAAGTTAATGAAGACACACAAAAGAAAACTCAACAACGCAAGAGGAAAATATCTGCTGAGAAAGTGGAACAAAAGGAAACAGTCGACCTCACTACTAATGATAACGTTAAGCAGGAATTACCGAGCAACAACACTAAGAAAGTAGATAACAACGTGAAGCCGTTCGCATACAAAAACGTCGACTATAAAAAGTTTTACAATCAAAATGTTGTTAACAAAGATCACAAACAAAAACAACCCAAAATGAAATTTAAAAAATATAAAAACTAATGCATGCATATTTATTAAGCGAAACTATACATTAATATATATAGTTCGTTTTATTCTACTATGTCGTTTTATTTATCGCCGAACGCCGAAATAAATGAAACACCGATAACAATATTGTAAAGTCATACTTTAATTTATTCAAACTGCATGAAATAATATTATTGTACAAAAATATGTCCTAAGTTCTTGGCACTAGTCGAATACTTAGCCCGCGACATGAGTGTCAAGAACCGTGTTGCCCAGACAAACAGTAACCCTAATCAGAAATATCTTCAGAGAGGTCTTCTCTTACCTTTATTTTGTTCTTAGGTGCTCTTCGGTTTCCGTAGGTACCGGAGTCATTCCTTTCCTTCACAATCCCCTTGCCCTCTGCTTTGCTTTTACTTTTCAAGTGGAACTTCTTATTACCGTTCCTGGGTGGTTCCTCTTCCCTCGTTACCTTTTTCCGATGCAAGACGTGAGGATGTACTTCCGTCGTTGATGAAACCTTTTCTTCCTCGACAGGCGTCTCGCGTTTTAATACGCTCTTAAAAGTCTGCCCTCGTGTAGGCTCATGTAGAGAAAATGTTATTCGATCATGATGTATCTGTTGGTGTCAGAAAAAAAAAATCAAACCTGTCCATAAAATAAATGTCATTTCAGTTGGAATGTACGAACACTTCTACGAGAACGTCTGTCTCCGTACGTAGAGATAGAGAAACTAATAATGCTCACCCTGTATTCGATTGTTATAAAGCATTCTTCCTCGTCTTCACAAATTAGTGAATTGACGTCAGCCGGTTTAGCCGCGTTAGCCGGCCGGCGTCCGACGCGAACGAAACGCCACAGGGAACGAATGCGGGGACCACACGCACGTACTATTTCAGCAACCTGCCAAACAATACCATTTCAATATTATTACTTATTCTGAAAAACTACACAGAATATCCAATTTCATCCAACAACAAACCAACTTTGATAAAAAGCAAAAACAATTAACTATGTAATTTATGTAGGTAACCGAATATTTCCTGCTAGCTAGCAGAAAAAATAGGCCCTCCTGTTATTACTGAGAATTTTGAAAGTGGAAACCACATTATTACTTATCACGTAAGTTCTCGTAACCTGTATTCGCATTTGCCTTTACTAAATAGAAAACTTGGTTTTTAAGAATTAGAATTAACATATTCCTTATTTTCGCTGAATTCAGAAATATGAACAAATAAAAACTTGGGACATACTTTCATCTGTTCAGCACCGTCACAAATGCCTCCTGAATGGGGTTCCACGCCGAAGCTGTTGATGCAGGCTCGATCCTCCGGTAGTAGAGAATCTATTTGGAACGCGCATTTCGGCAGCGCGTCCGTTCGTTCCTGTGCAGATAACATGGAACTAATAATAATAATATTACTTACATGGCAAAAAATGAACAGGTAAAAAAACAAGTGGGATATAACGTGTCGTTATTGGAGATTGTCTTACCCAGCCTATGTCGTCACAACGCTTGGGTTCATCGTAGCATATGTAGTAATTTATTGCTTTTGAACCATCAGTTCTTTTCTCAGTAGACCAAGTATACCAATTCTCACCGAATTTAAACATACTGTTGACGTGGCTCTGGTGGTAAATTAACGGAAAAATCATTTCGTTTGGGTGTTGTTGTTTTTGTTTTTCAGTGGTAGTCTTTTCTTCGTCGAACTCAATCTGTTTGTCGTCGCCATGCTTGCGCGTCTTGAGGAAGGGGAGCATGGTGACATCGAGCCTCTTCTTGTGATCCCACGGCTCAGTGTGCGTACTCTCTTCCTCCTCCATCTTGGAGTCCTCCTGGTCGGAGTGCATCACCACCTTGACTTTGACCGCCAGCGCGGCTTGTAGCAGACACACACTTAACACCAGATACCTTATCCGTCCCATTTTCGAGTGAGGCATTGCTCCGATCTAGTTAATCAGTTTCACTCGGCTCGAATTGTTTTCGCCTTCATAAAGGAAGTTGATATTAGCAGTTTCTCGATAAGAGAAGTGTTTGTAAATATGTATTCATAAAGAGTAGCCATTCAGGAGCCGAGAGAAAGAAGAAAAAGAACCTTTGTTTTTTTCGGATGCAAGGCTAGTTCACAACTTGTGTGTTGCTGATAAGTGGGGAAATCAAAAACAAAGCCATTAGATTATTGCTTTTATTTGGGTACAAAGATGTAGAGTATAAAATAAAAATACTGCATTTGGTATCAACCTTTTTCATAAAACTTTGATTATGAAAATTAAGCATTTCGACAAATACAAGTTATACATCTATAAAATAAAAATTAAAGCATAAGTTGTATTTCTAGACTAACATTATTTCTTTATCTATATAGAAATTGTATAATCGTATAGTACAAATAAAAAAGCGAGTGAAGTTTGGACCATTGTTAGGAATTAAAGTTTTCCATAGTGCTCGATATATTACATCAGCCATAAGAATTCGTATTTACAACATACATTATAATTTCCTTCTAACTTGATATCCGTTCATAGCATTAGGGTAAGAATAGCATCACTAAGGCAGAGAGGGTGTTTTATTGTACATTATTATTATTAGTGCCTAACGTTACTAACTATCGATACATTAGCATGAGGGAATGAGACTTCGTTACAAAACTACTCTTTCTCTCATCCGTACTATCAGCTAGACAGTAGTAATTAACGAACAAATTAAGGCCAGATTGAAAGTAACGTATCTTAGTGTACGATAGTCGTCTACTTAGAAATTATTTAGACCTCTATGTGTTCGATTAGCCTAATTAACATTGGTTCCGTGTACGCAGCCGCCGCGCACGGGACACCCGAACAAGTCGCTTACGTAAACTGTATAGTTAAGTAACAAGGCGAATATGTCACACTGTCTCTATAAACACTTGTGTATATCCTATAAATTATCTCACTTACTTAGCAACTCTTTATAATATAAAATATATCACGACATAAGTTAATTTGTTTATTTCATTGCTTGTATCTAAATAACTCAACAATAGTATCAGGTCGTTGATTTTGTAATAAAATATCTATTACGCAAAGTACAGATTAGCCTTTATTTAATATAATAAATAAATATGTTACACTAGACAGCCTCACAGTAGATCTACAATTCCACATAAAGTTTAAATTAAGTATATTTGTGGTAATAATCAGTAGTCGTTCACAATCATGATATAATATTATCTTAACAACGAACTTTATCAGCTATAGGCTATAGTAATTAAAATGTTGTAAGTACATACGAGTATTGCTTTTCATAAGTAACGCGAAATTAATAAATTCATAGAAGAATATTAAGATATACTTTTATAATTTCGTTATTTGTGCTATAAATAGTCTTCCCAAAAATATAACATTGGGTGTCCTCTACGCAGCGGCCATCGAGATTCAAACTTTACTAACTTGCAACCTAAATATCGCTCGCTTACATCTAATTAGTGCTTAATTTATTAGGCCCATTACATTAAGCCGTTTAGGTCCACGAGAGGGGAACGTAAGAACTAGTGATAACACTATAAGCTTACGTTCGGATACACGCATGATCGTCAACAAGTCTATAAAAATACTAAGCTTATACAAACAAAATAGATAGTCCTTTTCATCTTAGATAAAGTTGTATAACAATATGATTTACAAGAAGTTATTCTAATAAATAAAGATGTAAAGATATAAAATGTAAATAAGAATAAATAAAGTTTACAATAAAACGAATCTCATTTCGGTGGAGTCATCGCATGTATCTAAACGCAACAACGGCCGCGGCCACCGGCCCGCCTGATATATTGTCAGAACAACTGCTCATCTAACTTCAACACAGCAAACTACGGAAAATAGACAAATCTCAACAGCTATATACCTTTAATTATTTCTAATAGAGTTTGATTTATTCGATTCAGTTGCAACTATAACTAACAACTTACTATTACAGTAATTATGCCCTAGTTTATTGTTCATAATGAAGTGTTGTACGAAAATAAATGACTATTCGATTTGGTAACTTTACCTTTCAGGATAGACTTATTACCAGAGTACCATGTTCTATGCGGAAGAATCTGGATGTACTTGAACATTATCGTCATCATTACAGTATAGGAAGCATACGGTGCCTTGTAAAGTAAGTATCTAAACAACAACACTGACCAGTGAGCGTGGGGAGAGAGAAGGAAGATCAATTTCTTATGTCTATTATACGTAGCTCACTCGTAAAGTTACGCAGTACACATAAAACTATAATCTATTCACCGGTATGACTAAGAGCGGCGTAAAGTCCATGAGCTGCCAAATAAATCACATCACGATGAACTGACAGTACGCCTCGTGACCACTCGCACTACACGAATGCTACTGGCTGGCGCGGCCCATCTACTGTTACAAACCAGAGCATTCGACAAAGCCGTGCATAAAGCCGATCGGACGTGTGAAGCCACCTAACAAGAATTTCTATTAAGTACAAAAACCAGCGCGCCAGACAGAAGCATTCCTCGTCTACATACGATCACGAGGCTACGAACATTCGGAGCAAAGGCTGAGTACGAAGATCCCACGGGCGTCGATCGGAGATTTCTTTATTGCACTGTATTGTCCACGTAATTATTACTCATTTCTACTTTGATTTAAATACTAACAAATATATAGTAGAGATAGGTTAAGTAAATATTCTATCGAATTAAGATATCTCCGTCGGTTGGCCCGTGGACACACCAAAACCTACAACTTTATTCAAAACCTAGTGGCCATTTCGGCGCTTTCGTGTGTCTCAGCGGGCTGCAAGTTGTAGCAGACGCAGCCCTGTCCCATCGCACTCAGTTCCAACCCTCAACTTTTGCTCCGACTCGTTCGTTAATAACTCATGCCCGTGTAAATGTTGGGGCATGGTAAATGCCAGGATCACGTGGTCGCATAGTTGAGGCTCTTGCGCTGTAGGAAGAGGTGGATCTCTGCGAAGGTGGGGCGCTCGAGCTCGTCGCGGCGCCAGCACTCGCACATGAGGTCGTACACGTCGCGCGGACACCCGGCCGCGCGGTCCACGCACTCGAACAGGCCGTCGTCCGCCTGCAGGTGCGACAGGTTCTCCAGTACCTGCATCACGACATACCTGGTTGTTACTCATTCTACCTCATACTAGCAGGTACGATAGCAAGTAATTAGTTAGCAAGTGTATTGTACCTCGTTATCAGTCAAATGTTCGTAAGGCCTTCGTCTGCACAGGGTAAAGATTTCGTGCAGTGTGACTCCGAAGGCCCAGACATCGCTCTTGGTGGTATACTTGGCCCTCAACACAGACTCCCAGGCGGCCCACCGCAGCGGTAGTGGGATCCGACCGTCCACCTTGTAATAATCACACGCATACGCTTCGTTGTCGGTACCAAAGTCACTGATTTTTACTTGGAAGTTCTTTCCTATCAAGCAGTTCCTGGAATTTGAGAATGTTACATTAATATCATAAAATAATCACACACCTAAAATAATAACATTCCAAAGAATGGTATTGCTTCATAATTACAATCATAGCACAAACCTGGCAGCTAAATCTCTATGTACGAAATTAAGTGACTCGAGGTATTGCATTCCAGCAGCAATCTGCGTGGCGAGGTGCAGGAGCATATGTGCGGCGGGAGGCACCGCGGAGCGGAGGAACGCACAGAGGTCGCCGAGTTCCAAGTACTCCAACACCACGGCCAGGGGAGGCGTCCGACACGCACCCAGCACACGAGCCAAGTGAGGGGAAGATAACGCAGCCAAGATACGCACGTCACGCTCAAACTCATCCCTATAAGTAACCTTGAGTTAATTCTATGCAACTAGGACCAGTCTAAGTAAGAAAGGGTAAATTAACTTATTTCTCTTTTGTTATTACGCAAAAATTACGTTTGAGTAGTAATTCAAAAATTTACTTTAACGGTACAGTATATTTTGAAAACAAAGATTTCTAGTGATGAAAGAGAAGAGCTTATTCCTACAGAGTTGTGTAACAATAGTCAGTACTCGGTATTTGCTGTTCAATGACAGGTACATTATGTAAACTCTTTAAACAAAGAAATCGTGACACAACGTTGTGGACTGACTTAATCTAATAGATAGGAAAGACGGACAAACACAGAAGGTGGACGACACAGAAGTAAAGTGGGGAGGGACAGAGACATGTAAAAAAACATGTATAAATCTAAAGCTCATACATGATATACCTCTCCTTAACAGTGGCGTCGTGGCACAGGAACTTGACGGCCACGAGCCGCTTCTCTGACGTGATTGTACCGTTGTACTCGGGTACCCCGTCAGCCTCCGCTACGTATACCTAGAACGAAAAGCAAACGAAATCATCATCAATTATTTTATTCAGAATATAGTACTATCATAATATAGTAACACAATGTAATAAATAACAGAACTTCGCCTTCAATAGAACACTTATATCAAACGCATATTGTAAACAACGCAAGCCAATGGTGGAGTGTCCTTAAAGTTAAGAAGAACTAAGATTACAAAGTACGTACCGTGCCAAATGCACCTTCAGCCAACTTGGAGATCATTCTCAGTCTATGTCTCGGGAACTCTATCACATTGGTGGTCTCCAGACGTCTCTTAAGATCTATGAATACTTCTTGTTGACTTGGTGACTGAAATTAAAATTAGTAAATGATTATACTTACGACTTTAAGTTTAACTTACTGAGAGAATATTAATTTAGATTTGGTTAGTTTTCAAATATTGAAAATGCAGTTTTCTAGGCTATGGACAAAATAATTTGACGAGTTGTAGTATGGTATTGAAGATATTACCCGAGTGCTATGCTTGGAGCGCACGGACCCGCCTGCAGAGCGTCGTGTGTCGATGTCCTCCACCAGGTCGGTCGCTCGCTCCGACAGCGAATCCAGTCGCCGCTTTGTCAGCAACGGCGCTGAGCTCAGCTCAGGCACTGCATAGTCGTAGTTTGAGCTGTCTGTTTAACAAATACCACAGGTAAATATGTATGTTCAACTTTACTTTAAATTGAAATTTATAAATCGTGTATTCCTTACCTGAGAGTGCAGTGTTAGAATCTTTAACGAAATCTTTCATTTCCAACAATACAGTACTATAGCTAAAATAGGGAGCACACTTGAGCGCTTGATATGGCTCCTGGTACTCGTCGGACTTAACATCTAAGGCGCAGTCTATTATCATCTTGTTTTCCGGCAACATAGAAGTGCCGCATCCGCTGTAGTTGTCAATTGTGCGTTTCTGGGACACAGTGGACTTGGCCAATGGTGAAGCAAAACATTTCCTATGTCTATGTCTATGTACTATGAGGAAGATGGCCACCGCCAGCAAGATCACCAAGGCCGTCAGCACTCCCACTACTATCGCCACATACAGCGGGTCTTCTTGGTGCGCTGTTGATATCGGCACCTCTTTGGTAAGCGTCGTCAACTTCTTGTCTTTACCCGCAGGTGGTTTCTGGCTTTCTGGTGTGTAGTTTCCTTGTGCGACGTCTGGAACAGAACATTAAAATGTTAGTGGTACCCCAGGCACATGTAAGTACACACAAGTGATGTTAGTGTTGGTACTGACCAGAGTCAAAGACGACCTCGCTGATAAGTATCCACCTCGCAGAGAAGCGCAGCTCGATGCGCACCCACTTGCCGATGCGGTGGTGCAGCTTGATGCTCACGTTGCGCGAGTTCTCGAATATGTTGTCCTCCACGTACGTGTAGTGTATCGGCTCGTCTTGGAAGTGCCGCCCGCCGATAGAGAACGATATTATTGCCTCAGAAAACACCTGTAGTACAATAATACAAATTATTCTAACAATATATGCTCAAAGCCAACGTTTCCCACAAATAATTAGCCAAGTATATAAAATAAAATATGTGAATATTTTACACATTCGCTGAGACATTTCCACAAGAATGGCGGCGGCTTTTCTAAGTTTTAATCATACGTTTATTACAAACTTTCGTGAACTCTACGAATCAGTATAATTTAGCTGATCCTTTATTAATTCAATAGTGGCGCGGTGACGACGCCGCCCTAATCAGTCTAAAGAACCAAATTCAACCTGAAGGTAAGTAGTAGTTTGAAACGTCGCGACAGTTCGTTAAATTATTCACGAGCTTTGAAATACGTTGAAACTTTGTATAGCGAGGTAACAATGATGTGCGTACCTGAACATCGCGCATGAATTTATTATTGCAGTACAAATGGACTGCGCTGAACTCCCGCACTTTGTCAAACTCAAAGGTGAGGGTGGGCGGGTTAGGGCGGGAGTCGTTCCTCCAGCCGACCCAGGCGGAGTTCTTGGCGGCCTCGCGGATCTCGTCACCCCCGAACTTGCCGTCCACCAGCTGGCCCAAGCCGCCACGCAGCTCCTCGCCCCACTGCCCATCGTACACCATGTCCGTCAGCTCTACGCCATTACTACGTTTGTCGCCCTTCGGCATGGAGTACGCGACAATCCCCACTGAAATAAAATAAGATATGACGACATCAGAGCATTTCAATACAACAAATATAGCTTAGTGCTTCGTCACAAGCACTAGACACATAAAGATTGAGCAAATAATACAAACATGTCAGGCGACACAGACTCTCTTAATGAAATATCCTCCTGGGTGCGATAATATCTCATGTTTTAGGGTTCTTGTAGAGAAAGATTACGAAACGTGTGTTATATGTATAAAGGAGAAATATAAATTGAATTATTAACTTTACCGCTGCCGCTGTTATTAACGGCACAATTTGCCAAGTCGTAACTATTATTACTAAAGTGATTCATAGTGTTCGGACCGAAACGTATCGCGCTAACTTACTATTACAAAGGTTAAAGGGCAATTTCAATTCTCAATAGTTTAATATTTAATTACGTTACGTGTAGCTGTCGCTCGCTTGTACCCGCCGCGTCATTCCTCTATTAGCGATCTACCCCATTAAAGGCGTCGCTGGGGACTAATAATACAACTGAAGAAAAGTAAGTACATAAACATACTGTAACAATTCTAAAATCACCTACAAAACGTATCTCGCAATAGTGCGCTATTACTACTATAACCACATATCTATGTTTTATGCAATCTACTAACACTCCATACATAATACAGCCAGTTCAATTAATAATCCTATTCATTACAATGGTACAATGGTCCTAACCTAACCTGAGGACTGACCCCGAGCTTATGGTAAGCAATAGAACTTAGTTCTAGCAAGCACTCGAGCCGTTGAACAAAACTAAAGAAACACTGACAGCAAAATACAAGAAACAGTAAACAGAGGCGTGATTTTGTAGAAAGAAATAAACTTTTTATAGAAAATTGCTCATGTGTTATTCTCGTGACAAAAGCCTTTGCTGTCATGTTTTAAACTCCACTCCACAATAATGCATTTAGCCTAGAGCTGTGGCAGGTTATTTACCCGCCGCCTTGTAGCGCCGGATCGTTTCCTTCATTTGACTCAAGACAACGTGCGCCGTATAATAAGCACTTGCAACAATTGTTTCTGGATCATTCTTACATCTTCACTCGACAGACTACTTAACGCCGCCCAACTTGTGTCTTCAATTTATAGCGATACTCCGAGGTAGCACAAGTTGGAGTAATTAATTAAATATGAATCACAAAAACATTAAGTTCTGCCTCACGAAGCTGTACCTAGTTTGTTGTTCTCCAACTAAATTGTACGTGATTTACAATTAGGGAATTAATGCATAGGTAGCATAATATGTATGCATATGTTCCTATTTTCCGGATGTAAAGCGGAGATACCTATTTCTAATTTAATATTGCAGCTTTACAAAATGTTTTCATTAACGGGCGCCATGATTAATATAAGTACTTAATAATAGAACGAATCTAGAATGGAACCCAACAATTGAATCTCCAACCAATCAACAGACGCGGCAGTTAAGTATCAACATAAATTAAAGTGCATTTTGCACTCAAGAACAGCAGTGAATGTAAAGGAATTAATCTCAACCTCGTATCCCGTTACCCGTAGCCAGAAATAATTACGCTAAATTCCTGTTTCACGTGACGAACATGTTTAATAGTGCTCTTTGAAGCTACTCCTTGTTCAAAGCAAAAGTATAAAGGCGTTCAGTCATGCCGTCACTGATTGTACTTATGACATTTTGCACTCAAATGGCAGTGCAATTAACTTGGCAAATGCGGCGTGAGACGACCACTGTCGGCTGCATCTAATATTTTGTTTGCACACAAGTTCCAATACATTTATTGCACTTTGCGTGTACGCGAAATTCTTCTTAGCGAGCGCCGTATTCGCATAGTTTATTAGGGAATTTCAATCAAAGTGAGATGAAAAGGAAATCTATTAAAGTATAGCAGAGACGATAAAAACATAGAGGGAACAGTTTTATCTCAATATAAAGACCGCAAATATTTTGAACAGTGTACACCACAATTATTGGCTCGTACAAAGCGAACGAGTCGGTACACTTTAGTGCTTAAACTCACTTCATTCCATTTCAATTAAGGGACCTTTATGAAGAGCACTCAAATAAATACCAATTTGATCCGATCAATCATTTATAATAAGTGGTTTCTCTGAATGTGCAATGCATCATGTTATTGAGTTCGTGAAATCATTGCAGATTTAAATTAATTTTAAAGTATTTAAATATTTAATGTACATGTAAAGATGATAATGTAAGTACTACTTATTGATTTTTTTTAAACTAGGCCAGTCTAGGCGGGGGATAGGTATTGCATGATATTTTAGGTTGAAGTTAACGGTTTAAGATGGTCAGTAAGCCGCGGAGAATTTAACGGGTTACCGGGGCCCCGGCTCGAAGTGCAGGAGTAGGAACGGGGTGGTTTTTAGTCAGTAAGAGTCTGACACTCGCTCCCGCCTCACCCAGGCTGGAGAAGTCATTCGATGATTTCCCCCCTTAAAACAAACCATGGTGGTCGGTAACATTCTAGATAAATGCCCAATATTCACGAAGATATCTTTCTACATTTAAAAATTGTGTCATGAGCTAAGATTTCAGACACAACTTAATGACCCAAAAAGAAATAAGAATATTAACTAAGTTAAACGCGCTATTCAATGATTCCAAGAACTTTAGTAGTACCCACCTATTTTAAAAGGCAGGATCTAAGCGAGCCGTTTCCCAAGAAAAAAGTCTGCAAATCAACACGACACCGTGGCTACGTATGTGACGAGGCTATTAATGTTCGTTCTATGTATTACTGATTTATTTGTCGGCAAATTTCACAAAAACATGCACTTACTTGAAAATGCAGCGTTCGTGTGAGCCTCGACAAAAACACCGTCAGAAGAATAACAACTGCATTTATTTATATTACATAAGGTGTGATTCAAGTGCAGTGTTTTATTTATATTAACCAAGAGCTGCGCACCGAGGCTGCGACACCTGGCAAGTTCTTGTTCTTGGGCGCGTGTTTTGTTATGATTCGTGGAAGCTTGTTTATATTAACTTCATCTACTAGTAAGTAATTTTCTTTGTTAAAGGAAATTGTGTAATTGTATAGGACACGTCATTGTTTCGAGTCTGTAACAAAGCTCCACTATTATCTGCGATTGAGCGCACGTACGTTGGACATCCTGCTTGAAAGCTAATCACTTCCCTCGTAGCTATGTAGTACATAAACAGTTCAGACATTCACACGAATATTGAAATGAAACTGGTTTTACAAATTCGCTGTCGGTTTGAGGCCGAGCGCTCGCTGCTGCCACTCAGGCACACACTCCGCCAATATTGGTAAAACTATTTTAATTTCCGTGGAAACGTTACATGTTTGTTATTTTTAGCGCTTAGTATTGTGGTCGTTCAAAGCTCCGACAACAAACAAGCACAATTAGTCAACCCCTTCAAGTGCTCTAAATAAAATATGTAGGGGCCTTTAGAAGCGCTACAGGAGGTAGTAGTAAGAAGCGGCTGCCGGGTAGTGCATACAAACATTATTTAAATGGGGACGTGTACTTGTGTACACAACGGCACGGCGCAGGTAATGATACTGACTACACCGAGCTATCAGTAGCGTGCTGGTTCTACGGCAAATGAAAGCAGTTTAAAAATGCAGACGTATGATTAACTCTAGTAATTTGCCAGTTTTTACCTAATGACGCTTTGCATGCGGTCCCTGGCGCACGTTCGATAACAAAGTTCCTAGAATTCACTATTATGGCCTTCAACAATGCCGTTGTAGTAGCGACATTAAAACCATGAACACGACACATTATTATTTCTGTGATACGCTCCATAATTAACGTTATTTTAATGAACTTTGTACACGGCCCGCCCATTATTTTGATTATTTTATGACCTATGGGAATGTAGACGCGTGTAATTACTTTTAGAAACCCTTTAAATTATAAATATGAACACTAAACCTGTGACAATATAATGTGGCCATTGTCTCCGACTCTGACATGAAGCGATTACGAGAATTAACATCGTTCGTGTACGACTATATGTGTATTTTTCACTTCTGGAAAGGTACTACAGTAAGCTGGTTTTAATTAACAGTTAAAAGAAATTGCCGTGTTAGTATTTTTCAGTGTAATAGCCGGGACATTTTGTATGGCTAGGGCTGCGTGCTCGCTACGTGGACGCTATACATTCTCCATTCAGGTAGGTAGGTTGGGTACACGGGTATGCAATAAAGGCTTTCACAAGTGTGCAATATAATTGTCATTAGACGTCAGGGGGACATTGTGATGAGACAATACCAGATACAATAAACGTGCTCCAAACGCGGCGAGATTGCGCTTCGGATATCAACTACCGCGTGCCGGTGCATTATGAATCGGACTGTCAAACGTTCACCACAACTGACATTCGATTAAGCGCTCAGCTCTCACCCCAAGAAGCGCAGGTAAAACGTGAACCAGCTTCCGAACAGTTTTAGGAAATAAGCTTTCGGCTTATTGTTTATGCTCGTGACGTTCACATCCTAATGGTCGTATTATTTTGTATTCGTACACGGTTAAAGCTCACGGTACGATAGGAAATTGTGTTTTGCATGTCATGTTCATGAATGGACTTTTGAAATGATGTTCGAATAGATTTTCTGTTGCACAGACAAGACTCTTCGTGACTTTTGTAATAAAATTGTATTCCATACTCGATGTGAACGGAAGATTATGTCAAAGTCATAAAACTATTATTTGACAGTACTCACCGCTCCAATAACAGCCATAGAGTTCGACCCTCATGCAGACGGTGCGCCGGTGGGAGCTGTACGGTATGAATCGTATCTTTGATGCCCAGATCGGCGGCTCGAGGTGGTTCTTCTTCTCTAAGTAAGTGTTCGTGTTTCCCTGCAGAATCTGTAACAAACGTTTCTTTCATTATAATGTAATATATTCTATTGTTAAGAATAAAACTACATAGCAATTTTAAAAAGTAGAATTTGTCATTTTTCAAATCAGATTCTTGACATATTTACGTTAATTCTCTGTGTGCGTGATTGGACTGAAACTCAAAGTGTCACAGCTTCACAAACGAAAGCTTTGGACTGAGCACTTGCGTTTGGGAGCGGTAGGAGAATGTTATTGAATTATCACCTATACATAATTGTATGAAAAAAATATAAATACTTTTATTGATATTAAAAAAAACATAGATGAAACTTTGCTAAGAATTATGTTATAGCATTATCAACACCGTAATAGTATCAAAACAACAGCTGTTTAGTTGTAAAACACACGACCTACTACGTTCTATTTTGGTTTTTATTATGGTGCGGTATCATATTTACTTTCTTACCGCGTCGTCGATCGCGCTTCGTTGCACTTAAACAAGAGGCTTGTACTCTCGTTTAGTACTACAAAGACTGCTACAATGTCTTGTTGCTTGAATAAAATTGAAAAGGTTTACAACAGAAGAAACAGTTTACAACCGTGCATGCGGTAAGTAATTCCCTGGATTCCTCGCCCACAGTATTAGTTGCTTTCACAAAGCTTTGGATTGTAGGTATTAATTAAAATACGAACTAAATGAAATGTGCTTTAGACGAGAACTGTCCGCTAGCCTGCATTTGAGCCAGGTGTAAAACAAACAGAATAATGAACAAAAAATTAGTCTAATGACAGTCAATGTCAAGCTTAAGGCTGAATGACATTATTATCGTAAAAGATGGGAATATTTCGACAGAACACGGCTCAATGTAGCCTACATAATGCGAGTAGTTTAGCAAGTATAGCCGACTAGTCGAATGCGCTCCAAGCTAAGTGGGTAGAGATGATCAGTATCTTTCGAGGCTAATTTAATTAAGCGAGCTTCGCATTGAAAGCTCTATTAGCCTGTGTATGCGGCTGATATTATGAGTCTAACAAATGCTTTTATCCCCTACTATGTCTAGACCGAGTTTTAATTGGTTAAGTAACGTTATTCGTTACGCGGAAAACGTAAAATGTGGAAGAGGATCAACATAGATTACAAGTTTAAAATTTTTATGAATACTTTTGTATGTAAAACAAATCGGACGGACCGCTATTCATCTATGTATTTGTAGATTAATCTCTTACTAGGTACATTCTTAAGTATTTAGTTATCTAACCTCTAACCCGAATAAAAGAATAAATTATACCGAAATATCGAAAATATTTCGTCAAGGAATACGTATTCTTATATGTATCTGTATCAATATTGTTAATATATTGACTTGACAAGACAAACACATATACGTAACATTATGTCGTTGTCACCTATCAGCTTTACTTCAGAATTGCAACAGAAAATCGGATCTCAAAATATGTGTCGACGACTTCGTAGTTTACATTAACCATAGAACCATCACCTTTATGAAAAACTGTGTATTGCCTGGTGATCGTCAAACCCCCTCGTTGTAAGGGGCTGGAAAGAGGTCGTAATTACAAGTTAGTGCTAGTCCCGTGCAAATGTCTTGCATTAGTAAGTAGAGGGACAGTGAACTACGACAGGTGACTAAACGCCGTCTTTAACTCCAAGTACCGGTTTAAAATTAAACAATTTAATGAATTCATTTTTGTCAAGCTACTATAGACTTTACAGCCCACACACTATTAAAAATTTCAGTTGAAATATAAAGACAATTTGAATGCACTGCAAAAGCACTCGTAATACGGAAAACGATGTTCAAAAACTAATTTTCATATTGAAAACTGCAGCACAAGTTGTTTGTGAACAGTCATTCATGTTCGTTCGGTAAACACAGGTTGTGTGTGTTGAATGCATTCCATATTAATATCTTAGACGACAATCAGAAGCAACGTTGTTTCAATGCAATTAACCTAATGAATAGGATTCACATCTTAGTTGTAGCTATGTAGTTGTTGCATAGGACCTGCGTATTATCAGTGGGGTAGATAATGCAACAAGATCATTAGCAACTACACGACGTATAGCAACTTATTGTTTACTTGTACATAGAGGTCAATGGACCCACGTATACGATCAATTTACGTACGTGTAAACCGAGGAAAACAGCTGGTCAACTTCAACTGTTGACTGTAAATTGTACATTGCCCACACAAAATTCAATTGGTATTACAAAAGACTTTTTCAGATCGGTTTAGTAAAAATTTTGATATATTATATTTCCGCTCATAAACGCCTATAATTGTAGTTGGTTTATAGAACAACGGCAAATAATTGACGCCGCAATGACACCTTACGTTTTATTATTAGGGCTGTCAACGTAAGGTTAGGTTAGAGGGAGTAAAGCGAATAAAACATAGCTAAAATATATCTCTAAGTGAAAAATTAACTCTGAAAATGTCTACGTTTACACTGCGCAATACCATCGTCCTCCTGCAGATTGCAGTGTCTTTGTGACGTCTATTTACTTCTACTCAACAAACAGCGCTTTAAAAATACCTTTTTAATATTGTGTAAAGAAATAAATTGCTGTCTCTTTAATAAAGACCTCTGAAAGTTGAGTAAAAACTAAAAGGCACGTAACTAGAAACAAGTAGGGCTTCATTTGATTCGTTAGAATACTTAGAATCCTTGTCGATCGCACTAATTGAAAGTAGCTTGTTGATAAAATAGGTACCGTACAGCAGCATCCAATAACAAGCATAAGTACCTCAATGTAACAATCAGTAGTCAAACTAATTAATTAGAATAAGTCATAAATATACAATGAACCTTATCTTGAAACTGCATTAATTTTTAGGTCAATTTGGTTATTGTCGCTTGTCGCTAACAATAAATTAAATTTTATCTCTGGAATGAGGTTCGTGTGATTAGCAACACGAATCGTTTACATTAAAACAATCAATTCATATAAATACTTTCATTCGTACATCATTTCGTAATATAGCTACACAAGTAAAACGATGGCTATACAACGAGGTGTACTTGACGAGGATCGACTTTCCAGACGAGCATAAAATAGACGCATGAGTGACAACCCTATGCATAAAGAGCTTCGAGTGTGTACGCGAACATTGCCAACTTGTTCCGCTACGAATGGTTCAGTCAAACTCTTTGACTTTCGATGTCACTGCACTTTATAGAGCCATTGTGTCGAGAATCGAGATATCAACAAGTTGGCGCAGAATCTGTCGAAGAATTACTAGTATAAAAGTTCTAGGATGCGAGATTTATTGAAGACATGAAGTGAAATCACTTTAGAGACGCAAACGTAATTAGACAAGTCACTTTAATGTTGCCATAGAATGAGTTGTACTAAACGTTGAAACTCATATTTAAGGATCTGAAGATCTTACACGTGTATAATTTATTAAGTCAGTCTTAATATAATTCAAATAAAAGATAATCATTATGCTGCTTATCTAGAATCAAGGCGCAAGCCCCACAGGTTAATCCCTACGGATGACCAGCTCCATGATGGATTGTTGGGTTGCTACGCAGCTACTAACAAACCCAGTGCCCCTTACAAGTGCTTGTGATAACCAGTAGGTTCATTAAAACAGGTCCATGTATGAGTTTTATTGTCAGACAATATTATTTATGGCTTACCTCTTGTCCGTCGCCGGTCCGGTACCTCACCCACTTGCCGAGTTTGGGCCGCCAGTACTCGATGACGTAGGCCTCCGCGTACTCCTGGCCCTGGCCGTTCCCGAACCGGCCTTGCGTACCGGTTCCTGTGATAACGTGCACTGAATGCAGATCGATTTCCAACCATTCTGTTGACTCAGTCGTGATCTGAGACCTTGGACACCAGGCTCCACCCTTGATATCTTGATTTAACCTGTTATGGTACAACAAATATGTTTTTAGATGTTTTATGTAATATCCCAAATACTTAGGAAAACTCTATGTCTACTCTATCTAAATATTAACAATTTTCGTCAAAACTTTACAAATAACACGAATAGCTTTCCCTACGTACATATTTAACAGAGTAACATTTTCAGTTAAACCTTTAGATATGAATGTTGTTAGTCAGCTATCAGTCGCAGAGCCGTGTGGCCGCATATTCATCAACATCGCAAACGACGCGACGTCCCACCCTGCGGTTGGATGTAACGAGTCCCTCTCGTTCCTCTCGTCAAAGGAAATTGACAGCCCATCCTATGTACCAACTATAGGTATACACCTACCACCATGTAGCCACAGCCATTTCACATTACAACCGAAATGCAATCGGTTTCCATAATAGATTTGTCCGATGATTGCGTGACAGGCTTTCGTTGTGTATTCTCCACATTCATACTCAATTTTTGTAAAGGTCTGTGTTGTCTCATGAATTTAAAAGTATTCTATCAACCACTACAGACAACAGAAGTTCACAATATTTTAAAAAAAAGGTTTTGTTCAAAACTACAATTAGTGGCAACTATATAAAAAAAACCTACTACATTATGGTCATTAAAATTGTTGATGAACAATAAAAACTATTTAATTAGACTCATGTACGAAATGTGCTTAACTATAAATAAATGCTTCTATAAAATCAGGTTTATTAAATGGAAACCTAAACTAATCCCCATAAAGATTGTTATAGGTTGACCACTTATTTTGTAAAGTGCATTGTATAACTAAATATTCTACGAGACCATCTTACATAATATTTATTTAGTACTGATTTTATTTGTAATTTATGAAAGTTATACAAATATATCTATGAAAATGTCCACTTTCGTTTAGCTACTTATTATCACTATTCATAAATAGGGGAGTATTTTTAATAGGTACCCGTTTTTACATCTTCGTTACGGAACTTTAAAAACGATTGTTTAATACGATACAAGAAAGAAACACCAAAAACCAAACACACGAATGCCATGAATTACTACTTTTGATTAAAAATAGTGTAGGTAATGGAAACACGGCTTCGTTATACTCGTACATCGATAAAGTATCATTAGGCACAAGTAAAAAGTTTTAAATATTGTTTACTGACTCAAGCCCGGCCACCACTTTAGTTTATAACCCATGAAGGTACAAAGCGTAATAGCTTCAATACGCCGGCCGTACAAAAACTAAGGAGGCTTTGTTATTTCACAATGATCCAAGATTCCTCATACAATTTATCAATCAAAGCTAATAATAGTGGTTTTGTTATTAGCGCATTCACTTATCATGTGTCACTGAGCAGAGTAATCGTTCGCAGTCGCACCAATCAAATTCCGAGATGGTCAGTCATTAAGCTCATTGACGCGCCACCGACCGCTCTCTAGATATCAATGAGGCGTGAACAAACTTTCATAATTTATCACTTAGCATATGCGCCGACTAATAAGTTTGATACTATTTCAACAGTGACACTAGAAATGTTGCTCGTTTCCTTTTGTCTAGCCCTAGGGCTGTAATACAAATAGTGCTGCATAAATCATTGATGATATAACATAAACAACGCGCTGGGTGTTCGATAATAAACAAAATAAACATGTCGCACATGAACTTTTATAATTAATGACTTGTAATAAACGGGCTGTAACCATTGGCTCCTTCAGCACTAAACTTGCACTATAAACAAATGAATCGATTCCATACATTCTCACTTACTACCTCGACAGTAAATACAATTTGACTTTTTATATTGATCAACAAGCGACCAAGAACATTAGTGTAACTCGTTACTAAGAAATAATGAGAGATGTTTTATTTGAAGCTTCATCGTTATAAAAAAAACGCTTAGGTGTAATTAATGAACCCAATTATTCGGCAGTAGAGGTCCTTGTATAGTGTATACAGATAAAGCCCTTAGCTGACCACCAATTATGGACTATCTTCCTCTACCCTCCTAAAGCACCGAGTTTGTCTTGAAGAAGCTCTGCGAATATGGGATATTAAATTCAGCATTGGAAGTTCACTGGTTTGTTATGATCAGGTCCTTCTAACAAGAACTAGACGCTGAAAAACGCCTTGAAAGTTTAAATCGCCATTCAAGTAGTTCAGTTGGCTTGAAAAGACAGCAGTCTACAACTGCGATAACGAGTTGAAAAGCAGCACGTTCCACATTTTTAATGGCATTCAGTCCAGTATTTTCGTTTATATTCGAAATAATGCAAGTCCAAGTTGAAGCGTATTGAGCTCCAAATCTCGAAAGGAAAATTCCGTCAACCGTAGTGAATGAAGAAGAACCGTGCTCGATGAAGAAAGATATCACTTGAAATAAATTTCTAATACCTACTTAGATCTACAAGTAGACAGAAGCTACCAGTATTAATGAAAACCAAAAATAAAGTTGACAAATTGGTTATAGAATGAGAATAATACTAACCTTCCATTTTGCGGGGCCACATTGCCGTCGTTATAGCAAGAACTAGCGCTGATATCCTTGTCGGGAATCAACCCGCTCTCCATCCCGAGTGGCGCGATACATTGAGCTGCAACAGAGATGTAGGCATATAGCACATAATATAATGTGTTGTATTAACATTTGCACCCGGGTTTATACAGTACACGCCATATCGATCAGCCAGCTACGGTCAACTTAGATGATATTTAGATGCTTTTGCATGCATTTGTCTTGCCTATAGTGAAGATACGCGTAAATCATTCAAAATTCACCGACGTCACACAAAATATTTTACATCTTACGCTATTAAAAAAGCTTTCGCTGCAAAGAAAAAAGCAGTTGCAATCGCAATATAAGTAGAATCACAGTATACATCAGCACGAAACAACATAATGAAAGATAATTGACCCACGACAACGGAAAAGTTGTCGTGTAAGTACCAGACATAGCGATGTCAATTTAAAACTTCTTGTAGATGTGAAAAAACTTTTAATGAATTGACATCATTTACGACTTTCTAGTGATGCGCTCGGATCAACATGCACCTTTAAGGAAAGGCTGATAAAGACCGAGTATGTTTGTATGATACCAATGACGAACATTTCGCTTTCCTTTATGAAAACTGAAAAAGCTTCACATTTGGATGGTTCACAGATTGGCTCACTTATCATTGCGTGTGTTATATCTTTTAAACACAATGAAAGCTCAAAATTATCACCCCGACCCTACCCAGCACACGTAATGATTTGACACATTAAATTATTTTCATAGCATCCGCAAAGCATTATATCTATTTAACATACGCATTAGCAAGCTTACGTAGACAGTGGTATTAATTAGTGGAATGTAAAAGAGTAGTAAATTAAATATACATGAGCCAAGTTGTCAGGCGAATTTCTCATTGGACTTGTTCAGTATAATTCTCAACGGGGTCGCTTATTAGTCAATCTATCAAAGGGTTCTTGCGTGCGGTAGGTATTAGACAAACAAACTGATACACAGTTACATAGACGCAGTTATATGTATGTTGAATCATTTAATTAGCTGCCAACGACTGATAACTTGTGACACATATGGAGGCTACGCATCACCGACGAGCGGGCGCGGACGGTACGCTCTATTGTAATGTCCAAATTATCTTATTTCATTGTTCAGCTCCTCAACGATTCATAAGTGATTTATTGTGACATACATACCTATAATTCATTAATACAACCGAAGTTTAAGCTGAATGTAACAAAAAAACAATACCCTTTCTAGAGTCGGGTAAAAATTCAATTTCATGACAGGAAACCGCTCGCGCTTGTAATTTTTACCTCCTTCTGATAAACAATAGCCATCAATCATTTCATACAAGCACCTACCACTCGTTACGTGGCACTTATTATACGAAAATTAAATTTTGTATTGTTTCACAATCACACATCTCTTGTATGAAATAAAATGGTAATGAGAGCACACCCCGTGAAATATGTAACGACGATAATTCCATCACTAGGTAAACAATAACCAGTGGGCGCTTGTGCGTGCCACACATGCTCGACATCTCTTACTAAGTTAACATAAAAAGTGTACTCATTTAATGAAGTCTATTTTTACAAAGTCATTAACCCAAATGTTAATAATAATGTATCATAGACAGTGAAATTAATCTACAACTTACTAGACGTGGCTATTGGCTACTTAACTAAAGCCACGTCTCGCACTCGGTGCGGAACAGGAATGGATTTAAACAGTCATATTGTAGGTTCTTACGACTGCTCAATAGCCTTAATTTATATTCACACAGCGACGGCGCTTACACACACATGGAAATGAACATAAATTTATATCGATGACAAGTCGCACAGCCATTGAAAGTTACATAAGCTGGTGGCAGTCCACGACTATGAGCTACACGACCACGTGCTCGTCATAAGCATTGTGCTATGTAAGCGTAATGAGTGTCAAATATCTTTAAACAGTAAAATTGGAATCTATTGTGAAGACCGCGTTAAGTTTTCCCCTCCACCAAACAAAAGACAGGCGCTTATGGGTCAAATGCAAATAGAATTCGCTTGTTGCGTGTCTCGTTACTTAAGCAGGCCTCTTGTTGCTCAGCGCTTGAGAACAAATTGCAAACGTCATAAAGCCAGTTTTGAATATTAATAAACACGAATAAATGATCTTGGTTTAAGCAAAAGCATTTACTTGGGCCAGCGGTTCACAAAGTGAGCGTGCTCCTGACGTCCGGCAAATTGGATATACTTTTTTCACATCGTCCAGTCTAGCTGCCTCCTAACAATTCCATTAAGTGTAATTTTGCTTTTAATTTAATTGTAGCAAAACACTTTTCAGTAGTAGAGTGAGTGAAAGCCGAATGGTAAATTTTAGGTGGAGAAAGTTTCAGAAGCACTGAGCTTGTGCGTGCTTATGCTATTGCGTGACATGTAGTCGTCTAATGAATAATAAACAGCGCAGTGGCGACTCGCTACTCATTCATATCCATCCACGAAAGGCAATATTCTTTTTTACATAAAACGATCGAATGTCAGCTTATACCGCCTACAATATTGGCTTAAGCTCGTATAAATTTGTAAACATCAGTGGGTACAGGCAGGTCTACGGGTCTACCTGTGCGCCTGTGCCTCTCCGTTACCAGGTTACGTGTGCGTTAGAGCGTTCTCACCCATTATACACGCCAACTTACAATGTCACATGTTTTTCTTTTACGGCTTAAACCACTTTGCGTGATATCGTTGGACTATTATTTTAATTACTTTCATTGTACGAGGGGGTCGTTAGCATTTTGTTTTTATTTTTCATGTTCAGTAGTTTTCACAACGAATGTGTACGGAACATAGAACTGACAGCGATAACGGCGTCCTACGAGGTAATGACTTTCCAAACTATCAACATGCCGCCGACGAGGTCCCTATATACGTGCAGTACAAGTAATAATTACACGGCCATTGATGACAGATCGATCGAACCAGGCCAACGGCGCATTAAATAATAAGTAAAATATACCTTTAAAATGTGCCTCGGGCGGGCTGTTTTAGACCATTTTAAAGGGTACTCGCGTTTCTTGTAATCGATACCAGACGAATAATTAAACAAAACAGCGACCATTCGGGATGTGTGGTACGTAGCGTAGGTAATACATGTTTGAGTCAAGGGTTACGTGGATAAAGGGTGCCGCGGGCAAATACATATGGCCTGCGTATGCACTCGACTTTGGTGTTTTTAATTAAAATAAGAACATCTTAGTCATGCTGGTATTTCCATTTCCCTAGTATATAAATAAGTACATAGCCTTCTACACTTGGATTAATTTTATTAAAACATACTTAAATTTTCTTTTCTTTATTTGCAGAGTAAGAAAAGTTTCGTTACTAACAACAAAAAAAAATTTGAACGTACATTTCAATTAAACAACATATTTGTAGTTCATTACTGGCCCGCAATGTGTTAAATAAACCGAGTGCCTTTCGCCGTGTAATCGGATACATTAAGCTTGTTTATTAAGACCAACCAACTAATAATTCCCTAAGCTTAAGGCTCCATACAACGCAAATAAATTATACTTTCACTAACCGTTTTATAAATTTTCCTATTACTTAAACCTATGTAAGTACGCATTGAATTATATATTCAATGTCAGTATAAAACTACATTATTAATCGTAGCGACTTAAGGGCCGATTAATAAATACATGAGACGCCGTTCCCACAGGTGTCAGTTTTCTTAGCACAATTATTTAAACTTTGTGATAGTAAAGTCTTATTGAGATCAAAGTATTCCTAATTGGTATAAGTACTCACGTCTCGAGATGCGCCTACGGTTTCCGTTTTGATTCTTTAAAATCACAGGGCATGACGTTATTCGCCATTGTCACAAACACCGGTCGTTTCTACGTGGACTGATTACCAACGCGCCAACGTGAGCCTTCGTCGCAAATAGTGAACGTCGCAGGGCTCCTACTCTTGCTTGGAAACAAGCTGTTTATAGCTCGTAGATAAACTGCTTTCGTGTACATATATTAAGTTCTATCGAAAACCGATTTGCCTACTTCAGATTGGCTAGACGATAAGAAACGAACTTGGATACTATTTTAAATAACAAACTACATACCTATAACTGTTTAATTCCTTCTTGCAACTTGGACTAGGACAAGGTATTATTAAGAATTCAGGATATAGCATGTTAGATCAATTTAATGTAGTAATTACGGTAACTACGCCACCGTATAGCTACACACATGAGTGTATGCATAGCATAATCTGTAACACAATTATGGTTTAATGAAATAATTTATACGGTAATAAGGAATAATTCCATAATTGTCGTGTATCGACGTTCGATACGTGGGGTTTGTGGAATTATATAAACGCAGGACGTTTGAATTGAAGTAAATTAGTGGCAGTCATTAGAATATTATTCTAAACAAGCTCCCAGCTTGCGACTTTGCCCGTGTTTAATTTAACAGGGACGTTATTCAAAATTAAGTTTTTGGAATTTTTAAATCAATCTAGTAGTTTCGGAGTAGGCTCCGAAATCCTATCATATCCTATTAAATCCAATCAAATCTTTCCTCTTTATTATTACCTACATACAGAAAATAAAATACAGCTTTGCATAGTGGGACGTAGTTAAGCAGAAAGGACCTAACCTTCGGTTTGGTCGAAATAAGTTAAGTATGCCATCGTATTTCTGAGGGTCCAATCTATCATATAGTGAAGACTTTATTTTCGAAATGCGTATGGAAACTATTTTTTTTGTACTACCCCATCATAGTCATCTCACATCAACTCACATGCATGAAGAGTACGAAGAGAAAAATAGCTGAACGAACCCACTCTGCTCAAATTGTTCCGGAGTAATGGAGTAATGCAATTTCTATGTACGTATTCTTAAAGATAATTTATCAGATAAAACTCAAACAGTTTAGGTCCTTTCTAAGAATTAAATATTGCCTAACAATTTAATTTAAAAAAAAACCTCTCCACGTAACTAGAATGAAAAGTCAAGAATTTTTAAGTAGTAACAAAATTGAGAACAAAGTTGTATATAAATCGTAAAATATGTATACCTCTAAAGAAAACGTAAACTAACTGGCCGAATAATAAAAAAAAATATTTTGAAAAAAAAATGATCCCTACTTATCCAAGATAATCAGACAGTGGAGAGATACAAACCTTAATCTTTTTCGGTACATCGGTGTTTTGATAAAATTTTCAGAAGATGATTTCCAAGTCATTTGGCCGGAAGGAAAGACTATTGCCGAAGCAAAGCTAGCAGATTACAAATCTATGTATAATTGATACCCGAAGATCGCCACGCGTTTTATAAAAACCTCATAGGAATGGACATGAACGAAGGCGCAGATGGATATGGAACAACATTGGATTTTGATTTGGAGGAAGAATAATTAATGAAGTTCTCAGTGCCTGTCTGTCTGTACCGTTTTTAGGTTTATTTTATTTTTAGCTACGTCAAAGAGACACAGTGGAGCTGATTGAATAGATTACTTTTTAATGATTATAGGGGTTCGAGTGTTTTTAATGAAGAATTAAAAAAATTTAGTCTAGTTAATTAAAAAAAGTTCTAGTTTAAAAATTGCTTATCTTTGTGAACTCAACTCACATTTTACTTAATATCTCAAAACTTACTGAAAAAATAATGGCTACTAAAACAAACAAAAGACTTTTTGAAAAAAGAGTGTTCAAAAACTTCAAATGCCTATTACTCAACTGACTTGATGTAGTCATTTCTGCTTAACTACGTCCTGTACCTGCCTATACCTGCATTTATGTATGTTCAAAACTTAGACACGTACGCTAAAAACTCAATTACCAACATGAAAAAGTTAGTAGAAAAAGAAATCATTCTAGACATTTATTTTCATAATACACTTTTACCCTATTTCGTACTTGGATCTCTAAAATAATTCAGTAGCAAGACAGTCAGTACCGAATACCGATATGCTTTTCATACAAAGGGGTATTAATAGCACTTTTTAAGTCGGACAACACTGCACTGCATGCAAACGAATACGTATATGAAAACATTTTAGGCGGTCGTTACAACAGTTATGCTATAGTACAAACAAACAACATTATCTTTTGTAAAACCGGCGAAGACTTTCGTATATGTATGAGTTACGTTATAGGTTACCATGTATCCATAAATATACCTAAGGCACGATAAAGTCAGCACAGGTAAGTTTTAACCATAGTTTTAACATATCGTCGAAAGGTACCGCACCGCATCGGTGTTAATCCGTCAATCCCATACAATCTTCCGATTGACTCGATTTTATTGATGTCACAGAGACTACATAATGAAATTGACTATAAGTAAACAATGACAAAATATATCACGAAGGTGAAAATAATCTACTATATAAAAATAAGTCGGGTTTTCCTTCCTGGCGCTATAACCCCAGAACGCACGAACCGATTTTCATGCTTTTGCATTCGTTGGAAAGGTCTCGGGTTCCGTGAGGTTTATAGCAAAGAAAATTCACTAATCACCAAACGAAATGTTACATAAAACTACCATCTACGAAAAAAACCATCTGGTGGCGAAACGGAGTTCGCCGAGTTTGCTAGTACTATATATAATATCGTACCGTACCGCTACCGACACATGTATTTTTCATTTACTAAACGCAATTTCCTCAAAGACAAATTGAAATACAACAGACAAACATGAAAAGCACAAAAGTTGACTGTAATAAGAAGTCTACGTCGCTTCCGGTTCCGTTGCATTGAAAGGAATCTTAGCTACGACTAAAGACTAAAGTTCCCTAGTTCCGTACTCGCAGACAAACTCGAGGACCTTTCACAAATATTAGTGTTTTGAATAAAGTCCTTAACATAATTAGTGTTTTCATTAACGTTCCCACATAGAAGTTTTAGTTCAATTGAAATTTTGAAATATAACAACGCTAAAAGCGACTGGTGGAATTTATAATTCTTCGTACAAGTTCACCGAGGCACGGCGTCCCCGTTGCTCTGGGAGAGAACTTTCTAATTAAATATTAAGGCGGTCCATGCACAGACATCGGCGGGGGACTACCACTGTAACTTTTTATAGTTGTGATATGGTCATCATGCCCTTTGGACCGAATGGACCCTTACCTATGTAGCCTGCCGATTACCCGGGTTATTTTCACAACCACTCGTACATTTGCCTTATAACCTCATTATTATTTTCTATATTTGTGTACCTATTTTATCACAACATTAAGACAGACTGGAATTGTGAATCTCCGAAGTGCACGACAGATTATCAAACACGTAAATTCCAAAAAAACCAAACCAAGATTCCTAACCCGGTCCTCGTGCTTTGCGTGCAGTACTAGTGCTCATTATACAAACATAAAGAAATTGGAACATAAGAAACAATGAAAATAAAAGCAAAGTGAAATGACAATTATATTTATTTGCTTTTCAACCTTCAGACTTTAGTCATGGTCGTAATAGCGCAAACGTGACTACAAGAAGCATTATAAAGTAGCAGAAATTTCCCGTTGGGTGGCGGCTAAGTGAAAACTTTTGTTAGTAGGTAGTAGGTACGCTCCAACAATTTGTCGGTGCGATGCCTACGTACTTAGGTACTAGGTCTAACTCAAATTGTAATTATAAGGCCTTGGCCACGTCGATTTCCACCATTAATAGATTTCACGACGAACAATGAAACGTAAGCGGTAAGAAGTGCAAATATAAATTGGGAATAATTTTTCAGTGGTTTCTTTTCAAATCGAATGTTTTGTTAGTTTTTCTAGGTTTTTTTGTTTCTTTGGAAATATTTCATAAATGATTGCTGTTCTGCTATAAATATTCATCAGGTATGCAATGTATATAAGTATGGAAACTTTATTTTAATTTGCTTGAGTTGTGTAGTTCGAAACACCTAATGGTTAATACTATAAAACTTGTATGTGTTAGAAGTCAGTGTCCCCATTTCTACGAGTAATTAGGTACTTATAAGGCAGTCTGTGTCATGTATTTTAATAAAATCTTCATATTTTTCTTTTGTTATATTAAATTGAATAAGTAGATCCCTACTGTAAAACGTTCACATATCAGTACCACATAGATCTCCAAATAGTACGCTTATTATTATTTTTCATGTTATGTAATAATAGATACACGACATTTTGTTATAATGATTTGACATGTGTTTTGCACATTAACTGTTTGCAGTAAGTAGGTACCTACTACGTACATACGTAATTGAATTCTTTATACATATTTTGGCAGTATTACTCAACGATCTCGATTCAAGATCTCAACATGATCCAATAAAATTCCATATAACTAACGTCAGAAGCCGATCTTAAACCAAAGGTTTTAGATTGGGGTCGGTAATTAGTTTTGGACGTAAGAGCATTTAATTTCTTTAAATCTCTTCGAGAATCGTAGAAGACAGAAGCCCTATCTATCGTAAGCGTTGGATCAATATCTTCGTGCAATCGACGTAATAATCCTGCAAAATATCTCCGTCACTAAGTAGTCGTCTCACCGTTAATTCGATAAACTTCAAGTCGTTAAAAGTTCTAGCAGAAGCCATTCATTCGAAAATAATCTTAGTTACATTCTTGTTAGTCGTTATAAATTTCTACACGAGCCTGCATACGTATTGCCAGTATTGGCAGTATACAAAACTAAAACTAACTCTGAAAATCTGTAATAGTAAACATGAGCCAGTGAAACATAACATGAATGGGAATTTAATTAATGTAATGCTGAATATGAAGCGAAATTATTTAACCATCTAAGAGAATCTCCGTATGAGACTATTATTGCATTCAAAGCGTATTTCTAACAAACCGAGTGTGCATCTAATAATTAAGGCAGCGTGGTAGGATGAGAATACGGGTTCCTGCACAACATGTTACAATATTTGAGGCAACATTGAATGAACTGTGAGCTATCTTTGAAATTATGAACCTTTTGAAACATGGTGACTTTGTATCTCGAACATAGAATCTATCGATCTAGGTACTCAATAAACCGAGGCATGTTAACTAAATATTTCAGAAGGCCACTTCACAGGGCGGATTCTAACGTGAAGTATTCAAAGTCAATGTTAAGGGTTATCCGGTCCAAGGAACTTCACTATACGACCTTAATCTCAGCGTTAAGTGCTTCAACAGATAGTAAAAATACTTGTAGCGTATCGTAGGTATGCCTTGTTGCAAAGCCCACGAAATATATGTATACCAAATAATACTGATATGTTGGCAGGCGCGGCAGCGTGTGACATACTCTCGTATTTTGCATTATTTGATTTCAATAGATACGAAAAATTCTTCCTGCTCGCGCCCGCCGTGGTCGTAAAATATCTGCATTGTCATACTTAATCAAGTACCTACTTACCTACGTGCGTTAACCCTGAAACACCGATATTCTTAGCATAACTTCGGCATACACATTACAAGGGGTGTCGGAATATGAGGCACATATTTCACGTTCTCAGACGCCAGTTTTTGTATGGTTTATTAGGCATCTTAAGTACCTACACATAATGCTATTCTGTATAATTACATCATAGCGAGGTCCCGACATCGCGACACGAATGTTTTTTGTCTAGCTCTGCACGTCATTTTCGGTCAAGGCGAGTGAAAAGGTCGGCATTACCCTTTTCATATAAGTATAGGTTTACATTTCCACACTAATTTTATATAGCTTTAACATATTATGTCATCCGCCTAATTTTGCGATTAGGGAGGTGTGGTGTCTTTATTGTTGTCGAACCTACATAATTAATTAATTTAAACTGATACTTAATATTAAACTGTTTATTAATATTCAAAGGCTTCTCTAATTATTTTGCCAATAACATCCAGCAATAATATTCAGGACACAGGTGGGTACGCATTGGGGGTAATAAATGTGTATAAAGATTGTACTTACATATATCGAGAGCGTGAAGTGACGTGGCTCCTGCGACCAGTACCACAGCTATCACATACAGCACCATCGCGCCTCATTCACTTCACCATTCTCCGACACCTCAATTCTGGAACAACACAAACACTGTAAACGACACACGGTATCAACAGTAGATGCTCTTATTACTGCATATCACGAAACTCTGAGGATGACCCATTTTTACGAGCAATCGTAAAAAAGGCTTAATAGTTTGGTCATTACTCATTACCAACGCAATTCAAAGACACCGTCTCATTTGACCTTCGTAGTTAGCCCAGCTAGTAATAACAAACTTATTATTTAGAGCTTAAATAAAAATAACAAGTTCCACTACCCAAGCAAGTGGCTTTTCAAAAACTTCTCGGATTGAAGTTGAAACAGCGGCTGGAAGGCTCAATTTAAAGAATCTACCTACCTAAAAAGATAACGAGAAAAATGCTGAAGCTTTCTATCTTTAGGTAGATTTTCTTTTCAGACGAAGCTTCAATTCTTACATGTTAGACACTTGGCAGTGGGGCCCTTCAACTGTAAAACAAAAGAATGTCTGGGGCTGCGAAACAATAGCGAATGTCATTTATATGTAGCGCCGTGTCAAGGTCTGTAGTGTGGCTGGGGGCAATGCACATTTTGAAGTAGTCATCAAAACACGATAGTGGCATCCACATGAATGTATATAAGATATTTATGGTTATAATAAATATCGATAAATACTTAGGTGGAGTGGCGTCGGAACGTAGAGACGAACTACTGGGACGCTGGGGAGACGGTCGCGGCGAGCGGCGAGCGGCGCCGGCAGCGGCGAAGGAAATGATTCCAAAACGTAAGGAGATAAACGACGGAGTGCCGTATGTACCTACTTAGGTACCTCCTGCGACGTCTGATACGATTCCGATTTGAGTATTGAAAAGGAAATTTATTTGTACAAACCACTATCTATAAGTACCTACATGTCTATTTTGTGGAAAAAATCATATTTTCATCATATCAATCAATCATATAACAAACCCGTACCCACTTTCCAAGCGTAGCAACTTTTATAATCAGGCGCCTTACCATTTAAAATCTTGCTTTTTGTAGAAGTAAGCTTTCTAGTAATAAAATGTAATTTTATAAGGCTTTAACTTTAATTACGTTTAATTATAGGCTCTCTTTGCATGTGCAAAGAGTGAAATAAAAACAATAAGATTTATGTCAACTTTCAGACTTTATGTAAATTTAGTTTATTACCGACCATGAAGTAAACACGCAGCCTACTTAGTGTTTCTAAATGTATTTATAAATAGATCATAACGAAGGAATAAACTACAAAGTAAAAAATAAACAATCACATTTAAAATATTTATTTGCGTTCAAGTATAAATTATACAAAACAAAACCAATAGGTAATAAAATTACAATGTTTATTGCAGGCAATCTTAAGTACACTAATTAACAGGCAAAACATTTTACAACAACTAAAATAAATAAGACTACAGAATAATACTATTGACATTACACAGAAAGAATAAAGTTTCAGTACCCAACTAAGAAAAACTAATTTCAAACTATCTCCATACAACATTAAATAAATGTATTTAAAACTAAGAACATTAATTACAAACGTTTACGTATTACATGCATTAATATTTATTCAAAATAATAAACCAACTGACATATTAATATGATGACACTTAGGGAAAACCGCGACGTACCGTTTATGTTAAAGGCGGGTAACCGGTGACGAGACTAACAGGGCAACCGAAACTGCAGCTGAGCCCTGTAGCACTGTAGCCCATCCGACGGCCAAAACCCGACTGCGCTCACCAATCAGACTTACCTAAAGGATAGCTCTGGGACGCTACATCGGCTGTACTTCCTCACTGCATTTTCTACCTTAAAGACCAACTCTAGTAATATCGAGTGACATGAAGTCGCTGCGTAAAGCAAAACAACAAATGACCAATAGCTACCCCGGGGTGCATTGCCGCCATGTAACCGAAAAACTTTACTGTTTAGTGCATTATTTCGTGGGATTAGGTGTAGGAACGATTTTCAAATACAGTGTTTGAACGAAGTGGGTATAATTTAAAACGGAATTTAACGTTATTATTCGCCTTAAATAAAGTAATAAAGCTTCCCATTTGCTTTAATTTATATTAGATCGCAAAAAACTTCGACTACCGTTTTTAAAAATAAACTATGTATATTGCAGTGATATGATAATTTTATAGCCTTTTATTAAATTAACCGGAAAGGGCTAATAAGGTCAACAAATCGCATATTTTGTTTGCGGAGTGAACGAGGTAATAATGGGCGACTATTACCTCATTTGCCGGGCAAACTAATTTGTAATTTCGTTTAAGACGCGTCCGGGAAGCGTTTCGCGAAAAAGTTTGCGTAGGATAGTTACACCCGTTTATTTTGATATCGTAAATGGTGTGCTCCAAATTGTTTTATTACCAAAGTTCTGGGACTTTCAATGGTAATTGACGATTGGTTGTTATTATGTTTTTATAATCACTATCGTGAGACATACTGAATTAACTCGTCGAGTACCGGTTTTATAGACACAATTAAAGAACAATAGGTCGCGGTCACCGGTGACCGCTTGGTGTTTGACAGTTTAACTAAAAATTTACAAGTTACTTAAGTAAATATAAGTATTGAGAAAAGGTCACGCTGCTCATGGGGAAGAGCCCCTCTGTGACTCGAAACTAGTAGAGCTTTTCTCAGTACATTTACGTGTGTAACCTATATTTTTTGGTTATTATTAGCTGGTATTTTTTATAGATTTTTATAATAAATATGAATATATAATTATTTATGAACGATGTTTTAGTTGACCATTGTAATTATTATTGTCGCGTAATAAGCACAAATTGCATTGACTAAGACCTCTTTTGTACTTAAGATTTGGAGTGCTGCACTCACTGCACTGCAAAGGCAAGCCAGCACTGTCTAAGCTCCATACAAGACCTAAATAGACAATACTATTGAGGAATCCTTTTTCAAGGTACCTCAGTCAGGCTATTGTTCGTTAGTATTTAAAGTTTTGTAGTGCTATAGAAGACTTAAGATTTCTTTTAAAATCAGGTACTTAGGTACTACAAAATATATTTGAGTGTATTTTAGTGCGGTATTAAGTACTTCAGGTTCTTTTTAAATAAAGTGTGTGATGATATGATACATGCTATGACCAGAAGTAACACTTCCAACTTCAAGCGAACCCTTGATGCGAATTAGAGTGCTTCCACAGACCACCAAGGTTCTTGCCAAGAAGGCAAAATCTCTTGTTACAACTTCGATGCAATAACTAAAAATAACTAACAAATCTTGATATTTGTTCCATAAATAAAACGTAAATATCAAAGCTAGACAGTAAAGCCCGTCCGCATAGTGAAATAAAATTCTTACGGATAAAAATTTCGCACCGCATCGCGTCAGCTTGCTATCACAGGCGCAAATTTTATTTCACTGTGCGAGCAAGCACTTAGTCTTTTAAAAAGACGAAAGGACCGTTGTTTTTATATTATTTCCAATGTGAAAAAGTAGTACTTATTGTTTACCTATATCCAAGAATTTTAATAGTTGCATAATAATAAAAAAAATTTGCCGAGCAAATTAGTAGTCAATCTAGCAAGTAGGAGACACATATTTACTGCATGTCGTGACATAAAAGCTTAACCTTATTAAGCTTGTGTTGTAAAGACGGTATCAACAGTTTGAGAGCGCGCTTGAAGCCACAGTACGCGACTGTATCGTTCAAAGACCTCTATTGTGCACACAACGACAGCATCAGAGAATATCATCAACAAGTAACATAGGTACCAAACAAAGTACTAACCAATCTAATAAAGTAATCTTTTAGTACTGACTCGCAACTTTTGAAAGGACCAGCGGTGAACTAATTTTAATCAGCAAATGAGTTTTTTGTACCACTTCCTCAAATAAAGAGACACGAACAAACAGTAAATATTTAATAAACGAGACGTGCGAGTCTGGGCCGACACCCTTCCATATTTTTTGTTCGGTCAGTTTTGAGGTCTTGTGTATAATATCACAACTTTCAACCGAAATCCGACCAACACGTTCCACTTGCTCTTTGATTCCTAAAAATCGGAATAGAATGGTTTAGCAGCCTCTACATTGGACTATAGAAAAATTTTTAGAATTTTAAACAAAATAAACATCCGTTCAGGTTTCTGAACAGATTTAACAACCGAAAAAGTCCTAGCAGAAAGTCCCTATTCTCAACACACTTGTCGCATAACACGTAAGTTCCAGACTTCCTCTACACTATCTCACACCTTCATAAACTACCCCTTACAAACTTTGCTCCAGCTTTGAACGAGGTACATAAGAGTCCCTAACATGTTTCTTGAAAAATAATGATCTGAATATAAGTAAGTTAAATTAAATACGTAAAAATATCTTGGAGATATAATCCCACTTAAGGAAAACTAACCGGGATTATATTCATTATTAGGCTGTTATTTTGTGTTTTACATAGTATAAGTACAGATGATCCTTTTATAACGATCTAAATAATCGCCTGGTCTTGTTTGTCCGAACGAAGATATCAAATCCTTCTTAAGGTTTTTTTTTTGAGGGGGAATACCATCCAATGCCTTCTCCCATCCGAGTGAGGCGAGAGGGAGTGTTAGACTCTTACTGATCAAAAACCACCCCGTTCTTACTCCTGCACATCGAGCCGGGTGCTCCGTATCGGCATCAGCCGTATGGGGCCCCGTATGTGGTGGTCTATATATTTATGGCTCTTTGAGGCGCGCGAATCTTTCTTAAGGTAACCAAGCTTCCGTTCAAAAAAGCATTAAGCCAGTCGCAGTTTTTTTGTGCATATGTTTAAAATTTATTCATTACTTATGTGTATTTCATTTTAACCATTCCATTTACAAATGATATGCTCTAATTAAAATTAAATAAGGTTTTTACCAAATTAAATTTTTCATTCAAGGCACCCAAGGAAAGCATTGGTTGACGTCGTTAAACGTATCTCTTTGAGGCGCGCGAATCTTTCTTAAGGTAACCAAGCTTCCGTTCAAAAAAGCA